ATCAGCACATCGTATTTCCAGAACGGGAGCTCGAAGCTATTCGCCTGGCTCGCAACTTCCGGATCGTGCCAACAGGGAGTTTTTGCAGTTAACCAAGCTTGGTCAATCTCTGGTTAAGTAGTCAAGAAAAGCTGGCTGAAGGGCACTCGAACAAAGTTGGTCAAGAGCAGAAGTTGCCTGTTACTCACGTTCGTCGAAGCAGTCGACGAGTTCGTGGGCGATGCGTAGAAACGAGTGCATCCTTTGTGCCTTGGGAGATACTATGTGGGAGAGGCATTGGAAAGTATGTACGTGTACTGAGATTTTGCAGCATATATAGACGTCGTAATCTGCCTGTATGTACTCAGTCAAGTCAGACAATGTGGTGTTCGGAGTTTTCATTGCATTCTACGTTTGGTTGGCCCGCAACTCCTAAACCAGGCTTTGGAAAGCAACGCTTGTAACTCTCGTCTCTCTGAAGACGCATTTCTAACTTAGGATAAGCGCCCGGGAGACGTCCTAAATCTGAAGCGGTCTAGTGTCACTCTGTTTGAGACCCCACTGCCCTACGGACGCTCACGGTTTTGAGCAGGCTGATGAGAATGCGCTCGTGGAAGTGGAGGTACAAACGGTGCCACGGGAGGAACAGCCAGCTGGAGTGGACCTGGAGCGGGTACCGGGCCCCTTGGAAACTGTACTGGTACAACTCGTTGCAGTATGCGCAGTGTACATGGGCCTGGACACACCGAACTTGGACTGGTTCATTCAACATAACCATAAACTCCAACAATATCAAGGTCTTCAGGTATTGGAAGTACTGGTTACCTCCGATTAACCAACATTGAAATCGGAATCGAAAGAAAGTTAGGCTCTGCAAACTATCTGACGGGGGCTTTGTGAAGTCTCAGCCAACCAAAGGCCGTTCCTCGTTTGAAGGAGGGTTTGCCACCCCTTTTTTGGAGCTTGTTCGACTCCTACGGTTTCATCAAGTGCGCGCTTTCTTTCTAAGCTGACAATTATCGTCTCTCTCCTTTCTCGCTCTTCTCAGAGCAATTTCACACCAGACGAGAGGATATAAGGAGAACGGAAATGCAAGCCAGAACAAAAGTAGAACAGAGCAATCACCACATTTCGAAGCATCACCTGTTGCAAGTACCAGCGGGGGTCGGTTGGATCTTCTCTGGCCTTCTGCCTGAGCAGTTGGTACGCTCTGTTGAACATCCTCCTCTCCTGAGTTGTCAAGTTGCCAGTGGCCTTTCTCGTACGAACAGGGCCCGCCAATGGAGTGAAGGGGACCCGTGGGGGAATTCCATTGGGTCTGAAGGAAAAAGGGGAGTCACATGTCGGTTTCAGGAACGATAGGTTTTGCTGGTAGGACATGATAGAGCACTGTCAGAGGAGCTGCATTGTTGGTCTATCAGGCTTGAGTCGTGTGATTGGACAGAGTTCAGGTTGAAGGGAGTGAGACGATCGCAGAACTGCTTATTGAGGACGAAAGAATGAGCGACACAGCATCCAAACTGGTTACTTTGATTTCAAAGGATTTTGGTGGGAAGAATGGGAGACAGGAGAGTCAAACTTGGCCGTCAACATTCTTCACATCCTCAGAAACACGATTGCAAGCACGTTACTCGACATTGAAGGGAGCAGAGGGAAATTAGGGGTGATTGCAGGTTTGTTGAAAACCGCTTTTGAAACCGCTTTGACACTCTTGGCTCTCTTCCATCATAGACCAGGGAGAGAGCAGGTTGCCCCTCTTATATGTCCTGTACAAACTCCAAAAAACAACATTGTCAATGATGCACTGTGACCAGAATGTCTGCAAGGACAGATTCAAAGGAAACCAACTCAAGGTTCTGGGACATGGCAAGTCCTTCCGAAGGCACTCAAATCATTATGATTTATGAAAACCATCTGACAACTTAAAGCTCGCACCATCAGTTACACTGAACATTCTTTCGTTAACATGAGTGAAGCCCTAGGAGTCATGGTGCCAAAATCGTGGCCTTCGTGCCAAGTGCCAAGTGCCAAGTGCCAACTCACCAACTCAGGGGAGTGTTCTGTCTGTCCTCACCTGATGTTCACACAGCAGTCGTCGGCACAGGCTGCCAAATCCGCTGGACGCAGCACAATTGGTGCGGCTTGGCCCTGGCTGGGCAGCAAGAGCCCTGCCGCTGTGGCCCCCCCTGCAGCCAACACCTGGCGTCTGGCAACTAGAAGGTCGGGGGTATTCGAAGAGACAGGTTCTTCTTCCTGGGGGGCTGTGGCTCGGACGGGTAAGGTGCGATTAGCGGACCTGCAGAGTGGGTTAACAAATGGCTGAGCATGGCTCATATCTTGCGATGATAGGGGGGTTTGGAATGGTCTTCCAAGGTCAAAACCTGCCAGGAGTCACCTTGCATCAGGCAGTGTAAGAACAGGGGTTCAGATGTAGCTGAAGCTTAAGAAGATTCTAGAATCTGATGCTCCCTCATACTTGGACTTGCTCATAGAAGCATGCATGCAGTTCACCTCTAGAGAATACACATGAACCTGCCATGAGCATTATGAGCGAGAATTATGTCACCATTGGGCTAAAGGTGGCACCTTTTAGGCCAAAGCTGCGGCCTTTTGATCTTTGCGTGCAGATTATGCAGAATGCTACCCCGCAAACAATGTAGCAACACAACAACATTGCTGAGCAGAGACCGTTTGCTAGAAGATTCTAAACCCTCTGCACTGCTGTAAAACAGTTCTGGGGAAAAGCACCGCTCTTGCTTTCGATGGACCTTTGAATATACCTTCAGGGAGAAAAGGGCTGCTCCTATGCACAAGTGCAGCTCAAACCAAAAGCCTTTGCAATGTACACACAGGGAATCCATTGAACAGGCTGGGGTAATCTGCATTGCAAATCAAAAAGCCGTCCAGGTCCCAATAAAGTGAGGCAAGTCAGGCACTTGAGCCTATAAGTCACATACCTTCTGGCAGCGCTCAGCTGAGCGTCATTTGTGTCTGCACCAACCCTGCGCCGATTGCAGCTCAACCCATACAAGAAGCTGGACTTGGAGTCAGTCTTCCCCTGTCTGCCTAGTACACCAGCGAATCTGCTCCCAATTGCTGGGTTGCTGATATGCTGGAGCTGAGTTATTGATCTTCCATTGCGTGCGCCAATTGGAGTGCACTCCCTGAGCAGTGCTTGCTGCACCGAGCAGTGGAGAGGTTGCTCAGCAGGCGACAGCAGCTGTGCTCGGACGCGCACGACCGCCAGCGGTGCCATGTTCCACAAGAAGCTGATATTCCAATGCAGGAATGCAGATGCTAGAAGTGAGCTTCAGCTTTTGCTTTGAAAAGGTCCAGCTAAACATGATAATGAATGCCTGAAACCGTGGGAGCTGAGAAACTTAAAAAGTCAAACCTCGCACTCAGAGGTTCTTGTCCTGGAAGACCTGTCTAGCTGCACAGCTAGGGTAAGGGCGCCACGCCCGGCGTATGATGCATTATGCACGGAATGGGTACCGTACACCGGTAATGAGTATAGGGACGTGGCGCTAAATACGGTACCTTGCAATTAGGGTACCGTCACTTTGTAGTGGCACCCAGTTAGGTGTTTTGGACTCTGGCCAGGCACTTTAGCGTAAGGGTCTCAAGCCCCCCCCCCCCCCTCCCGGCCTTGCCATGACTGGCAAGGTCGATCGAAGGTCCCAGTCCGGTGGGCTGTCAACCGGGAAAATCTTAGGTAAAAAAACACAATCATATACATGAACTCAGCCCATTTTGGTGCTGTTTCGTGTTGTTCTCGGGCTGAAAAGGCGGAACGTTGTACAAAATGAGGATAAGTCTGCATGAAAACGCATGCTTCTCACATGAAACCTGGCTGGGGCTCCGCCCCAAGCAAAAGGCTTCCCCCCCCCCTCCTCCACCTTTGCTTGGCTGTTCCGAACCAACTTGAAGCCCCCCCCCCCAACAGAATATCTAAGGGGCGGTACCCTTCAATACCTAGGTACGGTACCTGTAATCTTGGGTACAGAAGGTGCCGACCGCGACTGCCTATACCCGGACCATAAGACATCAGCCCGTATGCCGTATACCGGTATAGGTACGGTATACCTTGTACCTAGGTACTTGTGACTGAGCAGGTCGGACTCACTTGACCCGTTCGTCCTCATGTCACTCCAATGAGAGCCTGTCCTGCCAATGAATGCAGGCCATGATTCTGCATGAAGTACCATGCAAGCCTCTCATAGGATCCATCATCATCCTATACAATGTCCGGCCGCCTAAATGAATACCAACTGTCAATCCTCTGCTTATTTCTGCAACGGTTTTCGTAACGGCGCCACGACAGTAAAGCTACATAGGTAGCATGGTTCTCTACTTAAGTTGCTGGCAAAGCTTGAACTGGCTTATAACTGAATTCAATTGTCGTGCATCATGCACATCAGCCAAAGCAGTGCATGCTTCAATTTAAGTCAACAATTGAAATGCTTTGGTGAATTTTGAGCGCTAACATCCGTAGAGCAGGGCGTTTCCTCTAGTAAGTGTCTACTATTCTGATCTGACTATCTTATCCTACGGGGTTAGTCAACTAGCGCGTTTGCATGCAGCTATATCTCACAAATATACCCGACATCTACATGGAAATTAGAATGTATCTGATTGTTTGTACTCTTTCGCATGTCTCGGCAAGTTTGAGCTGGCAAGCAGTCTAAACACTCCCCGTATGTACAATTTACAACCCGATCGCAACTCCGCACTCTTTCTCGCTATCTTACTCTATCGCTCAAACCTGAAACGCATGCAGAAACCTCCCTGCAAAGACCGCCCAGTGATCAGAAGCTGACCGTATGCATGATTGCATCAGCTACCTGCAATTCGAGTCAAGCACAAGTTAGTGTTCCCGGCATACAAAGAACACTGCCTGGAGTAATGAATTCCCCATCTCTTTCGGATGCAAACCGACTCATACCAGTTGGGGCAGCGTTCCCCATTGCGAGAATCAGAAAATAAATCGCGAACACGATCAAGGTTTTCCTAACAGACTGAAGCCTAATCAAGCGACGGATCCCGACTGAAAGTAAGTGCATACGTTCAATATGAGCACCTTTACGTTTTTCGAGAAGACTACTTCACTTGCCGGTTCCTGAGCGCCTGATCCAGATATTGCAGACGCCAAGAGTCAAGAGTACATAATCTCAACATCGGAGTATGTTTCGACGAGGACCCTGGACGCGAAATGCTCTCAGCTTGTACTATCAGGGAGACTCAGATTCTTCAAAGCGTGCTCACCTTGCTTTCCGTCGGGAGGTAGAAGGGCTCAAACACAAGGGGGAAGGGAGTGTCCAACCCGCAGACTCGGGCAACGGGGGCCTCCAGCTGGTAAAGAACGATAAAGCCTTGTCAAGCGTAGAGATATGTAGATATTAACATTGCAATTACTGATGTGTTTGAAACACTCGGCCTTCAAGATCGTACAATGTCGTTCGTGTACGCAGAGCCTTCCTAAACGCTCAAAGCAATGTTCTCGGAAGCTCTCGCTGTTCGTAAAGGGTCAACCGGACCCTGAAAATTAGGGAAGGGTCCACGTGCCTGGGCTCGGGATCCAGAAGCGGTATAGCAGTCACTCAACGCAGACGCAAAAGTGGAGTGGGTACTTTCGGACCCCAGTTTTTGAGAGAATGAGGGTCGTCAGAACTGCCGTGACGGACAATGTGCTGTTGCGACGGCGGCTGACGGAATGATCCCACCTCAACGAACAGCATCCATGTAGCCTTTAGGGTCAGTCAAGCCCTTAATCGACCAACACAGAGCCTGACGGGTGCTGCCCAACGTTGCTCTTCAGTATTCTTCACTCATCAGAAGTCGGAGATATATGCAGCTCTTCGCGTCGAACTGCCCACCCCACTCCTCGATGCCAAGTTGTGGTCCGCAACCTCGTGATGTCAAACCACTTCCAACGTCGATTGGACGGTTCGAGATCGGAGAATATGTTCCGAGCTTCAGAAGACGATAATAAGCTTGACGCAAACAGCTGTAGTATTGAACGTTGACTTTGGCGCCGGCGAGACTCGATCCCAAGATCGATTACGACGCCGGAGAAGTGCGAAGCGACGCAACTGCTGACCTTGAGAAAGGACCGCTCCGCGATCTTTGCAGCAATCTCGGCTCCGAAGCCGCTCGTGATGGGAGCCTCGTGGCTGATGACGAGTCGCCCCGTCTTGCTGACGGAAGCGGCCACGGTGTCAACATCCCAGGGGAGGAGGGTCTGCAGATCGATCAACTCGCACGAAACGCCCTCCTGTAGAGTGAAGGAACTGAATTCAAATGTGTGCAATGTTCTGACAGAAGTTTCAACCGTTCAAGCGACGGGCATAGTCTGCCGAAGAGGGTCACTACTCGCTGCTCAGTCTATTCAGGAATTTGATTATGGAAAGGTAAGCAGAAGCTCGGCCCTCAAATGGGCTACAATCGAAAGCGGGAGTTCGGTTTTCTCGATATTTGGGTGGCGGGATGCCCATTGGAGGCTCCCATGTCGAAAATCTCGAAAACTGGGTCTGCAGTCCGTAGTAAAACTCTCGCTGTTTCAAAGATTGTATGTTTTTCGAGTGTGTCACTCAACAGTCAACACCAGCAGTCCGTATGACCTATCCTGTCCTGGGTCAAAGCGACTACCTCGAAGTGCCTCGACTAATCACTTCACGCAGACTCAGCCTGCTGACATCACGACTCAAGAGTTTCGGCTTGCTTGATGAAAACCTGATGGAGCCCGAGGATGAAGAACATGGACTCCCGTCATCAAAATCTCACCCCGCCTTGGCTTTTACGGGATCACGCCGATTCATAACGGCGGTAGGTTGCATGTTAAGATGCACGTTCACCGTCGATGGAAAGGTTGATGGCCGAGGCAGGGTCCAGGAACCCACCTTCTTCGTCCTTGGGGTTTTCTAGACCAAATGAATGAGGCCGCCTACCTTCTCAACAGCGTCGCATGCTCGCTCGAGCACCAGCATCTGCGCCCCCCAGCCCACTACCGTGACGTCACTCCCCTCTCGAAGAACCTGAAATGCAAAACACTTCTTTTTTAAAAATCAAGCGAAAGTCGGACAGGTTGTGATGTCCGCCATTGAGAGGAGCGTTGGAGGACGCGTCCACGATCTGGCCGCTTGAGAGCTGCGTCGAGAAGTCAGCACAGCGTAACGCTTGCGATCAAAAACGACAACAGTGATCCTCAGGCCTTCTGCGATGTAATTAGAGCGCAAGGGTTGCAAGCCGAGCCGGACGAAAACGCACGGGCGGGCAGCGTTTGGTAGGATCCCGGAGAAACTTTCAAAACGATGCTACGGATAAAGCTGACTGCAAGAGTGGAGCCCGCGAGAAGAGCGTCTTGAAACAGCGTACGATTCTTGACAACCCAGCACGAACCCGGATTTGGACTTGTTGCACTGGTAGTGGCGTAATGCGTACCTCTGCTCGCCCCAGTTCCGTTTCGTAGTCCCCAATGGGCACCTCTTCGACGGCCATTCGATAAAGACCCTGCACGCAACGCGGAATTTCAAGATTGAGACGGGCGAGACGAACAGCGAAAAGATACAGACAAAGCGTTAACGCGCATCCACTTTAAATCCTCTACAAGACTGGGTACGTCATCCAAGGACAAAAGTCAAAGGGTTCTGATCCGCCTGCTTCTCTCGTTTGCTGCCCTCTCGGCGAACCGCTATTGAAGCAAGCTGCCGTTAAAGCAAGTCTAAAAGGAAGCTGATTCTGATTTCCGACATGCGACAAACAACAATTAAGCGGAAGAACTGTGATTCAGCAGACCGAGCTCGAAGGGAAAAACCAGCAGTTCTGAAGTTAAGCAAAGCACGTAGAAAGGCTCTACTTCGCCTGAGTTCGAACAAGTATTCTGCAAGCTCAAACAACATGAACCCGCGAAGACCCTGACTTGTGATACTAACAACAAAAGAATGCTGAAACAAAGTAGAGCTTCGCTTTCGCTCTGCTCTCATTCCACGGACGCCCACTCCTACTTGGTTCAGAGTCCACTTACCTTGGGCTCAAAAAACACGGTGGGGTTCCGGTCCCGAATCGACGCCAGAAGGAGACCTTTCGCTTTTGAGGGACTTCGGGGGACGACCACCTGTTACAGAAAGGGGTGACTACGTTGACGCGGTCAGAGTGGAGTCGTCCGAAAGCAAAGTGTCCAGAATGCTCGCGGCAGCAAATTTGATAGCACGGGTCTCCGGAAGGCTTCACTTTGAGAAGAGACGCTCACGAGGGCACCACAGAACACCTTATCGGCTTCCATCTCGTACCCTCGACAAGCCATCTGACCCCGTCTCACAAAGTCGACAAAGAATCTGGCCAGGCTCCGAAACACTCAATCTTTGGAAACGGACACCAAAAGCCCTCAGCAATGGAAGCAGAAGCCGCCAAAAGAGGGGGGCGAAGCTGCTCGCTCTTTACACTACAGTGCTGAAGGTTTGCGGTGAATATCGGTGCCACTCTCAATCAAGGGATACGGCGAAATCAGAGGAGTCTAGACGTAACATGACACGAGGGCATGTAGGAAAGCTCACTTTGAGGCCTGGCACGTGCGTGAAGAACGCCTCGGGAGACTGCGAGTGGTAGTGGCCCCCATGCCCGACAGCACCGTACGGCGTGCGTATCGTCAAACCTAGACAAGCAACCCGAAAAGTTGGTTAGCGAAAGAAGGTATGACAAACTTGCAGAGCTTACGGCTTACGTCGTTTGACGAGAGGAAGAAGGGGGAAGTAGAACCGACAACAACCAGGAGTTTCTGAACAGTTAAGACATGGTTTGGGACGCCTAGTAGTGTCCAAGAAAGTCGCAAGACAGGGGCTGAATGTTAAAAGAGTGTATCAACATGGCTAGGGATATGTTGGATTTTGAATTTACAGAAGACCCCAAGCCGCCAGCCCCAAAACTGCTGTAAGATTGAATGCAACGGAAAGTACTTGAGAAGTTTGATGAGCGTCCAAAGGGTCTAAGTAAACTCAAGGCTTTCAGAAGGCATTCTCGTAAAAGGTATCCGCGAGAGACCCAGCTCTACATATCGATGCCAGCTCGAGGCGCCGGTGGCGCATATCAGTGGATAGAAAGACAACCGGAAGCTTTGTGTGGCGACAGAAGAGTTTGGACACGTCCGTTGGGCAGGCCTGCTTCGAAATCCCGACCTCAATCAGAGAAAAGAGACAGAAGCTATAGAGAGGAGTGTTGGGATCCAAAGGAGGACCAGTAACGGGTTGCCCACCACCGCAGTCGAACTGGTTCCCGCTTCGGTACCGGCATTTTGCAGCCTCGTTAACAATCTGCACAGATTGGACGGTAAGATAATTCGTGCACGAACCTCTAGGAGACGATGATCCTCCTCAACCATGCGAAGGGGATCGGCTGGTAGAGGCGTGCATACATGAAGAGAGATGCAATCAGTCCTTTGTGCAGCTTTTGAAGACTCCAAGTCTGATGCTGAAAAACCCTTGAATATAGATGAACTGTCCAATACCTCCTACCTGGTCAAAAGCGGGGAATATGTAGTCCGCAAACTGTATCTCAGCGATTGCCCTGCTTCCCATTGCAGCCAGCCCGATCCCAAACCCAATAATCCCCTGTACAACAGAAAGCACGGGCTCTTCTGGGAAGCTTTTTGCACGGCGCACTTGACCGCAACTGTTTGACCGTTGGGCTTGCTTTCAAGGGTTTCTCTCAGACAGCTCCTCAATGTTGCCTGAAGAATGAAGCAGGATCTTGAGATATCTTTCCATTTTAATGAAGGAGCGTTGCAAAAAACCTTGAATCAAAGGAGATTATGTGGCCCAACCCGCCTTCTGAAGCACCTCACCTGTTCACATAGGGGTGTGTTGAAAACTCGGTGCCTGCCAAAGCGCTCAGCTAGGCCTGTGGTACACCGGAAAACCCCTCCAAAGCTGACGTCTTCTCCAAAGATGTACGAACTGCAAAGCACACAGAAGTGCTTTTAAATTACGACTGTCTTGTGATTTGAGCTGTTCTTGTTGACTCAGTGCTTATAAGAGTGCGAGCTCGGCTTCTGGTGGTAAGAAGTTGAGCTGGAACGCTAGGACCCTCGAACCCCATCGGGACGGTTTCCCAGGTAAGGCTCTCTGTCTTTTGAGTGTGTCAGCTTCTCTGAGCTCCACCGACCAGTATCAACTGATATGCTGAAAACCTCAATATGGTTTTGGCAGGTCTTTCATGAACGTGTAATGAACCCACTATAACTAGATGCTTTCACATGTTGAATTTACTTCCCCTGCAATTGAGCCATTTCAAACCCTAATAGTGAGCAAAGGCCCAACAGAGTCCTCGCATTGCAAACTAAGGAGTCTGCTACAAATTGAAGTGCATAAGTGCCGAAGCTGACATAGGAGTGCATGCAGCTCAAATGGCTTCAAATTCTCACTTGGGGTCCGTGTCCAGGGCTATGTGAAGGGCGTCATTGACTGCAGTGAACAGGTTCATGCGCTTCAACTCGGCCGTTCCATCATACCCCTCAGGTGCAGAAGGCTGTGCTTGCATTGCTGCACCCGAGAAACACCTCGCTGTCTCCAAAGAGCTGATTCGCCGTGGCTGCAGCTCGCCTAAGAACCGGGCACACCGGAGAAGGGCTGCTGTTCCCCTCTGCATTGTGTGCGTGGCGGGGAGGCAGCTCAAAAGCGGAGAAAAGTTGCAGAATAAATAAAGAGCAAGAGGAGGGCTGGGTGAAGGGCAGAGCCTGCAAAAAGAAGCACGGCTAGAGCGCCTGCATGAGACTCATTGAGAGCTCCTTGAAAGGCTGTGCTTGAGAGCTGTTTGATCGGTGCATGCACGACTCATGATTTATGAGCACTCAGCAGATGCAAAATTAGGGTTCCGATTAGGTGTGGGTTATAGTTACAAATACAACCCGGATGGGTTAGGGCCTGCAAGCCGGTACTCTATTGTGCTCGAGCTGGGTACGTACCGGTGTCTTTCACGAAGTCAAAGTTCCGGTTTTGACCAATCTGGACCGTCAATATAAATTAACAAACCCATCGAACGGCGACCGTGAGCTCTCAGTTTGACCGTTGCTCGACCCTTCAAAGTTGCAAAACACTGTGCCCGAGTCCGAGTCCTGAGGCTGGAGGCTCCAGTCTGGACTCTGGAGTCTGGAGAATGATGATTCTTCGTCGATCCACTCTTTCAAGTTTCAGTTCGCTCGTGAGAGCTCCTTAGTGAAACAGAGACCTGACATCAGAATCAAGGCGCTCGACAAAGATTTCTGTGTGAAAATTCCGGCGAGATTGGCGTTGCAAGAAGGCTGAATCTGATAGGGGCTTTGCTGCGTGCATTTCTGTCGAGGGCGGTCTTCAAGGGATCCATTGACCACATCATTCCCCAATAGGCAGAGAAAACGGGCAGACAGAGCAATTGGAGAGAGTGCAGAAAATTCTGACTTGCGGTTCTCTTGGTGTGGAGCAAATGGCGTTCGTTTCAGGAGGGTCGGTGGAGAACTCGTGCGCTGCGCTCTTGACTGAATTGCAGGTAAGTCACGCCACCACCGTGCACCTACGCTCTAATAAGATGAATAATGACCTGAGTGGCAGACGTGTATCATAATTTATGGATTTGGAACGTCGTCGGACTCAGCTTAGAATTGTCTGATTGCTGGCATGATTCAGTTACCAGCATTTGATCAACAAAGATTGTCTGCATGTGATGGTTTTTGTCCGCCCTTCTAAAAAGTGGGCTTCAGGAAATGACGGTTCCACTGGTTTGTCCTGCAGCTCATTTGGGATGAACTGGGCGAGATGGATGCAGACCGCGACAAGCAGCTCTTGGCCATCGAAGAGGAGTGCTTGCAGGCAAGGCTACTGTCCTCTCTGCAAAGCTTGGTATCCTTGCACACGCTTCATTGTTACAGGTGTCTCTATGATCTCCTTCATATAATAATTGCAAAGATTGCTGAGGGGCAATGGTTGGTATTCAAGATTAACAGCAAGTTGGGGCAGACTTGGCAGATGGGCATGTGGCAGGACCATGCCCGATTCAGGCTGTTATACCGTACTGGCGTCAACTTGAGCAGCCTATCATAAGGTGCCCCTCCCAGCACAGATTTATCTCCTAATGATTATCTCTAGCATAGGTGTAGCCCTTTCTCAGAGCATCCCCTGCGCTGGTTCCGAGCTTTGTAATCCAGCCCCTTAAATATCCTTGCTGACAGCGACTATGCATGCTCTTGAAACCCCAAAGACAAGTGCCTGCCCATCAACTTTTCTTGCCAAACCCTTCGCTTTCGAGGTGTATAAGCTCCAGGGAAATAAGGATCCACCTGTCCTCAACATTCTGACAATTGGTGATCTCCTATGTTTGCCAGGTGTACAAGCGCAAGGTGGATGAGGCCAGCCGGTACCGTGTGGAGTTGCAGGCAGCGGTGGCGGACTCTGAGAAAGAGGTCGTTACCATGTGCACGGAACTGGGGGAGAAGTATGAACCGGTAAGACTGTGCCGCTGATTATAGCAGATGCTCTTACATACGTGCCTCTAAATCGTGTAAGCACATCCTATGTTGATGCTAAAAAGATGGCTTCTGGAGGTATCAAGGTAGCGTGATCTAGAAGGATGGGATTTGTGGGAAGGCAAAAAGGAAGGGAGTCCAATGACAGGTGGCAAGATCTGCAGAACTTGACATATAAGCATGCAAGAAGTTCTTTACTGCGGCTGTTAAGATTGTCGATCTTGTGAGCAGGATAAGGTGATGTCATTCACATCTATTGTAGCACGATTGTAAATAGTTGGTCAACCTGGGGAGTGCCTCTAGGGACAAACCTCAAGGGCTCAATCTGACTGTCCTTGGGCCCCTCCTAACTTCGTCCGACAACGTCCTCAAACCCTTCTTATCACTCTCGACTTCCTTGAAATCCTTCAGGTGGAGGGCAAGTTGGGTTGCATGCTCCTGCGCCAGCCAAAGGGACTGACGTCAAGTTGCTCATAACCAAGCAATGAGTCCTTCAAACCAACCAGCCTGAACAACTCGCAGACCTTCTCAGCCCAAATCTAACCAACCTCTAACTCCTCTCAAACATTTCAGATGGAAGGCAAGTTGGGGAGCATGCCCCTGCGCCAACAGATGGCCGCCGTTAAGCCGCGCATGGACAAGCTCCGCGCCCTCAAGTTCGCCCGCGTGAAGGAGTTTGCTGAGGTCCTGGGAGCGATCGGACGGCTGAGAGAGGAGCTGTTTGGGGCGGACGACGAGAGGTCGCCACCTGGCGCGGCACAGGACCTCACCATCAAGCGGCTGGAGGAGTTCAGGGAGAAGCTGAAGGAACTGCAAGCAGAGAAGGTGAGATTTTCGTTGTTATGGAGTACGTTTAGGGGATTGTTGTTTTGGTGGAACTTCAGAGTATTCATGTGTCGAAAGACCTAGGCAGATGATCGAGGTGGGGAGGCGGTGTGCTTCGTGCATTTGGGCTGACATATTGGCTGCAAAGTCATGCTTCAATTGGTAGAACCCACCTGACAGCTGTACACAGGTGCCTGAATCTATGTTTGTTGTTGCAAGGGTTCAAGAAAAGGTTATGATTACAATTGGCTAAGCTGAAGTCCTTCTTGCTCATCTCCTTAACATCACAGACCGCATTGCCCAGATTAGATCGTAGTACACACACCCTCGAATTGTTGCTTTGTAGCTTCAATTTTGTCACGGGAAACTCCTCGACTCCATTCGGGCCATCAAAGAGTAGGTTCACAGCTTACACCCAGTCCTCGAAGAGGGCCTCTCAAAACAGGAACATTCGTTTCTCTTCCTTATGCATCTCCCAATCTTACCACTGCAGGCGACGCGGCTCGACACCGTCCTGGCCCATGTGAAGCGCGTCCATAGCCTATGCTCGGTCCTGGGAGAAGACTTTGCCGAGACGATCCAGGGGGTGCATCCAAGCCTTCGGGACGGGGGGGTAGTGCACAACAAGAGCGTCAGCAGCGAGACCCTGCAGCGGCTAGAAGCAAAGATGGCTGCACTCCTGGAAGAGAAGAAGCGGCGCATGCACAGGGTAAGTTTTCACTGATTGCTTCCTCTTCCGTCCATCTTCTGCGGTGAGAATCTCAAAGAGCAGCTGCGTTTGATGGACAGGGTGATGCCCTCTGTAGTTGAGATACTTTCCTCTTTGTCAAAGAAGTGATTCGTCCATACGTCAGACATGTGGCTCCAAGATTATTGTCCTGTATCCTTGCTGTATTCTGCAGTAGTAGATTGACATAAATGGGCACTTCGTGATTGTTCTATGCATCCATCAGAAACTCCTGATTGGACCTCGTTGTACACATTCCTCTTGCGTTTCTGTCTCAGATGTCAAGCCATGCCTTTCCCTTAAACCGTCGCTTTTCCTGAGGCTAACGTTTGTAGTGTCAACTTTTGCAGGGCTCGGAGCTGGGCGCGTTCCTGGTTGAGTTGTGGTCCCTCCTTGACACTCCCCCGGAGGAGCAGGAGCCGTTCATGGAGATTGCGCTCTCGATTGCAATGAAGGAGGAGGACATCAACCGCGAGGGAGCGCTGTCCCTGGCAACGCTGCAAGAGGTGAACTGCAGTCTTGTTCTGCAAATCCTCTTGGTTGCAGATTTTGATTGCGCCGCTCAAGCCCACGTCCGGAAAAGTCGACCAGAACCTTTTCGGGCTTTGTCTCCGCCAGGTTCACTCTGGGTGATTTTTCAAGTCGAATGACAACCAGCAAACTCCCAATCTACATTCCTGAACCTTTTCGCCGCTGGACGCCTTGAGTCAATCATAGAACGCAAACTGCAACCCACTTACCTCAAATATGACCCGATTACGCCTGTCGGACGCACAGCTGGCGCGGCAAGAATGGGGTTAAAACGGGTCGCCTAACGGACTTGTTGGGCTGATCTTGCAAGGCAAATGAAGCTTGCAAACTCCTAATCGAAATCCGTTAACCTTAACCCATCCTTGACCAGGCGGAGGCGGAGCTAGCGCGGCTGCAGGGGTTGAAGGCCGGCCGCATGAAGGAGCTGGTCGGCAAGAAGCGGCGCCAGCTGGAGGATGTCTGCGCTACCGCCCACATGCGCGCGCCATCCGATACCACGCCCGAGAAAGCTGATGCGCTCATCGAGGCGGGTGAGTCGGTTGCGCAAGTGTCTGTGAGCTGCTGGGAGCCGTTTGGTTCTGGTTTACAAACGGACCGCCTGAGTACAAGCTTTAGTGCGACAGACCGGTCAGGAAAAATGATTGAAAGGAAATTATATAAGCAGGGCTCTTGGAAAGATCCCGTGTCGAACATGCGCGCTCTGCAGGATTTGGAGGACGTCGTAGTCTGCTTTCTGCAACATTTCATTGAGTCCACCCAATGTACGAGAAGGAAGAGATGGAGCAGAGATGAAGCAACTGGAGCACATGACAGCTGTGCTACGTTTGCTCCACTAATCCTGCTCATCATAAAAGAATATGCGTCACTTGGACCGTTCGAGGGAACAGCACGCATCTTATTTGACTAAGAACGGAGGATATCTATGAGGGGGCTGCTAAGCCCATACTTTCATCCGCCTGCGCATGGATGATCAAGCCGATTAAAGCTGCTAGTCGGCTCTATTAAGTTCTTCTTTCAGGTCCTCGTATCCAGCCCACCGCTTCCCTTCGCGATATTCTTCACACCGTCCCACTTTGGAGCCATTTGCCGACCTATTCATACCATCGTTTTTACCTCGCAGAGATGATCGACCCGTCGGAGCTGCTGGCGAAGCTGGAGGCGCAGATCAAGGACGCGGAGCGTGACAAGGAGACGCGCGCGCCCGTCATGGCGCAGGTCGAAAAGTTCCTGCACGCGGTCGAGCAGGAGCGCTGGCTGGACGAGTACAACAAGGTAAACTTCCGCCTCACGACCTGTGTATGTGGTTTGATTATGTTTACTTCAAAATAGGTCAACAGGAGCCATCGGACGCAGATGACGAGGTCTAACGCCAAGTTCGTGGTCTATGCTGTATTTGTGACTCGCCTAGTGGTCGGACAGAAGCACTAAGAGGACAAGTACAATCAGGTGACAAATCATCATTCATGCTATATTTCCAATCCGAAAACGACATATCTTACCGTTCACTTGAGGGGAAAGGAATTGGACGGATGCGTTGGTCGAGACAATGAGGCGGGTACGCGCAAAGTCCTGAGGTGTTACGGGGTCCTCTGTTGAGCTGCGCACGCGATTGATCATACTTTTGGATATGTGCAAGTGCTGGTCCCTGTTTACAATTCATATTCCTCGGTAGGCGGCTATCGCCGGTGCAAGCTTCGCTTTACAATCTGCTCACCTTCCATTGCGCCTTCGCTTCGTTCTTACGTCTCAATTGGGTGATACCCTCGCTCTTCGTACCCCTCTCCCGTCATTCTTTGCAATGAGGGGCTTACTTCCGATTCCGTCCACCCCCTTAGGACGAGAACCGCTATGCGGCGACCAAGGGCCAGCACCTGCTGCTCAAGCGCGCGGAGATCGCGCGCGCCGAAGTGCGCAAGCTGGGCCCGCTTTCGGACGCGCTTCTGCGCGCGGGGGACACGTGGGAGCGCGAGAACGGACGTCCGTTTTACTACGACGCGGAGCGGGTGCGCGACATGGTGGAGGAGTACAAGTGGCGCGCGGAAACGGCGGAGCAGGAGCGGAAGAGGCAAAAGGTACGGACTTGGGTTATTGGGGTTTGTGTTGGTTATGTGATCTGGGTTTTGGGTTTTGGGATTAAGAATCGAAGAGGCGGTATTCTGCTTGCATAAGGGAGGGTTACGGGAGTTCGGGAGATTGCAGAGCCGGAGACGGCGGACCAGGAGCGGAAGAGGGAAAAGGTGCCAGCATTGGATTACGGACTTTGGGTTTGGTTCTGGGGTTGAAATAGAGGGGCCAACGAAGAGTTTGCAAGTGACGCACGGAGAATTGGGAACAGGAGCGGAAGAGGCAGACGGTACGGTATCTGGGTCGGCAAGGGATCCTCAAAACCTGAGTTGGTTTGCAAGAATTTTTCAAACTTGGGATCCGCTCCCCAAGATCGTTCCAATATACAGTTCGGCCGCTTTTTGAGGTCTGGAGGGAGCAGTCATAGAGGCGATTGAAGAGAGAATGCACGGTTCGGTTGGCGATCCTCAGACTTTGCATTTGACGTCGTCAAGTTGCAACTTCACCTAGCTAAGCAGATTAAAAAGCTGATTTTTCCGATCGATTTCTATATGTCAGGAGGAGGAGAAGCGGCAGAAGGCGATGGCCACCGAGATCGAGCTCAAGTACGGGAGCAGCCCCAAGGGGAAGAGCCCCGCGCCCAAGAAGGCCTCCACGCCCGTTCAGGTCAGCAGGCTGCTCTACCCCTCCTACCTTTCTTCTCTAGCCAGAGATCCTTCCCTTACCTAGCCAGAAATCTAGATCCAATGGTATCATAGGGCATTCATACGACGGTTGTCGACAATGCAGTCCTCAGATGGCGGGGCTTTGTGTGAGCAACGCGAAAGTGGTCCTTTCTAGATTTCACGGATGAAAAGGCTCCGCGTTGACCTTCTCTTTGCTCAATTTGCCTGTTAACATCTGGCATGGGGGAATCGAGAGTGTTTCGGAACATTGTCGTATTACCAGCTTAAGTGTCCCCCCCTTTTTCGACGCCCCCGATCACATTTTCGACCCCTTCCAACAGAGATGAAACAGCCAACGCAAACCACAACAATTGCCGCACTGTTCGCTGACGAAGAGTTCTTCCTGACGAACAATTCTTCTATTCTCTGCAGAGCCCCGGCGTCAATCGGCGTCTCTCTCTCGGCGCTTCCAACCTCTCCACCGATCGGCCTGCCTCGGTTGCTGCCTCCTGTTCAAAGAAAAATAAAATCAGACAACGCGAACAACATTATTCGCCGCACTATTCTGACGGACAATTTTCCTTTTCTTTGCAGAGCCCCGGCGTAAACCGGCGTCTCTCCCTTGGCGCTTCCAACCTCTCCACCGACCGCCCCGCCCCGGTTGCTGCCTCCCGGTCCAACCTCAACGGCTTCGCGAGCCCTCCGGCCCACACCCCCCGCGCGACCCACAACGGAATTCCGGCCGGCGGAGCGCGGAAGAAGACCGGAAACGGAGCCCCGGTTCCGAACCCCCGGCCAGTCGCGGGGACGCCGAGCAAGATCCGGAAGGTGCCAATCGCACCGAAGCCCCGACCCAGTGCGCCGGCCAACTTTGTCGCGCTGGCTATGGCAGGGCCACCCGCTGCTGCGCCCGGTGAGTGTTCTTCGGTGTGACAAGGTTTCGTGGCTTTCTGATTAGGTACGCGACCATTTGTTTAGCCGAAGGATCATTCATTTGCGAGCGATTTCAGAATATCTTCTCCTGCTGTATATATTGTGGCAGGAGGTACATGATTCTTATCAGTTTTGTTGGACGATTGCCTGGCGCTTGACCGTTGGTCAAAGATGATAATGATGGAAATAACGATTTGAAGTGAAGGATCGACGTTGGCGCGAAGAGTTTGCGGTTCATTTCGCCCTTCCTGGAATGCTAGCCTACAAAATGTATGCCTTACAGACGGTTCAATGCGCATCCAGGTCCGTTCGTGCTTTCGATAACAACAGGCAATAGCTTTCAGCCCCGCAGAATCTCTTCTCACGAACCACCCCTGGTTTCCCTGCAGAAAGCCCCCCCTCCGCTGTCGCCCCTCCGGCTCCCGCCGTTCCGCCCGTCCTCATGGAGCGGAACTATTCCGGCCTGGCGCTCAACCAGAGCGGATCGCCGGTCAAGCAGGGCGACAAGGAGAGCCGCCCCAGCTCGCGCTTGGGCGACCGGGACATTCCCCCGACCACTTCTTCGCCCAGCGGCTTCTCCGACGATGTGGTTATCACTGGAAACAAGGCCAGGTGAGAAGCGCCCGGGCGTGGAGACATACGGTAACGACTTTTTGAGAAATGGTTCTTCAAAGTGGCGCCGTAACGATGCACGTACCTACAATAGTTCTGCGTGTTGACGTTTGACAGGACAAGTCTACGTAGGATCGGGACTTTCTAGGGCTGTATCTTTCGTCTCTTTTGTGCGGCCGTGGGCAACGCACGTGTGCATACGCTGCTTAGCGTACATTCAGATTGTACTGGTAGCTTTGTCGATTCCACCGAAGTATCCACGTACGAGTCCGTGACATTGCACGAGAGCCACTCTAGGCCAGATTTAACCCTATGACTGCTATGTGAGCTACTGCTATTGATGAAGCTCGGAAGTTTCGTTCAACGTTCATTTGTCCTTCCAGCTCCTTACAGTAAAGCTATCTCTTATATCAAAAGCCCTGTGTACTCGTCGATGCTCACTGTGCCAGCTTCATCTCCCTTGCTCAGGTTTGCCGACCGGTACGCTTCGGACAGCGAATCGGACGCCGCCACGTCGGACTACGACGACGAGAATGACGACAGCCTGCCGCCGGACGGGAAGACGTCGCCGGCGCTCCGGACGTCCGCGGAGCGCGCGCCCTTCTCGCAGCTCAACGCGGCCCTGGAACACGCGCGCATCAGCGACCCGATGGTTAAGGTGAGGGTACAAAGGGTTTTCGGAAGACTGGAGGTTTGAGGGGGGTGTCCGGCGAAGGTGCGAGGTCTGGGTGCTGAAACGATTGGAGTTTGAAGTATTCGAGCGCTTCTGAGGGCTTTTTCGGAAGCGTTGACACCAGCCTTTGACCGCTGAAAGTGAGTCTTAGGATAGCAGGCTTTGCTGAGACAAATGAGTGGTTTCCAGCCGGATGCTTGGTATCCTGATCGCGAGAAATCAGCTGCTTTGTATTCAGAACTGGCGGTCCAGAATGAAGAGGAAGGACTTTGACTAACCTCTCTGTAGCTGGTCATCTAATGCTCGTTGTTCCGAAAACAAAAGCCTTAAACCCTGAAACCGAAAACAAAAGTGGGTTCTGCTGATTCCCGTCCAATTCGAGAGCACGTTTACTTTGGCATAGAATGCAGTTTATTGCTTCTGAGAGTCCGCCAAATCCTTCTGCAGGCCCCCAGCCCCGTTCCAAGCGGCTCCCCCCAACTGGGCGACAACTTTGACGAGCGCCGCCTCAGCATGATCCCCGAGAGGCGGGCTAGCATGCGGTATTAGACACTGCTTTCAAAACGGCGAAACGTACGGTAGACTGGTGTAACATGATGGACGGGACAATCAGAGGCTTAGCTCAAGAGCGTGTAGCAGGGAGTGTTAGAGAAGTACGGTAGCGCACTGCCACAAGAATCGAGGTACAACTGTGGGGAATTATTGGGTGTTCATGGGAGTTGTTCGTGTAGGAGTTCGAACCGACTTTTGTTCTGGAGGACCCAAGTTATAAGTAACGAGGAAATTTTCTTGCCTTGACGTACACTCTTTTCCAAGATTTGTGTACTGATTGACCGTATTACCAGAAATGCAAAAGTTGTCAGCTCGACTTCATCTGGTTGGAATTCAATTCTCCAATCTGGAAAATTCCGTCAGTAGAACCTCAGTCGATCCAATCTCCGCTGTTCAAGCATGAACACATTCTAGGGCATGACGAGAATATTTGGACAGGCAGGCATACATGAGGCCTCGATCGGATACGTAGCCGCGGGACCAGTCACAATTCATGTGCATCATTGCTATGGCGGCGGTGAGTGTGCACCCCGCGTGCCCGTTGCGGACGTCTCAAAGGCGCTTGAAGATAGATCAGGCATGGCATTAACTGCATGCATCAATTTGGCCCACAATAAAAGCCTATTATTATTCGGTCTCATGCACTACCTACTAAAGAGCCAGACACCGCGGGAGCGCGCGCCGTACTGACCTTCATACCAACGCCATTGAATGATGGCGCTGGCACTGCATGACGGTGCATGATGCTTCATTCCATATGCAGGCTGATATCAGGTCGCCCCCGCGGCCATGTGGGATTCCTGATCGAATCATGAGCCTTGGTTGTATATAGTCCGACTCACTGCAACTAAACGTGCGGCATACCGCGGGCATCCGCACAACTTACAGACGGCCAGGGGACGGGCCAGGTTGCTGCTTTCGCTAAACCAATCACGTATATGCCGTAGTATAGTTGTCGGCCCTTACACATTGACAGCTGGCGTGAACACACGCGGCCTGCAATCCGATCAGTATCCTCCAGCTCACTAAATACCCACAAGGTCTGGCATGGACAGTGAACCAGGTTATACAAAATCAATCGCCCCTTCAAGCGGTACGATTTCAGGACCGCGCCTCGCATTACCAACTACAATCCAGCGCACAATCAGTCCATTCAGAGGGGTTCTTTGGCACTAAACAACCAACTTCGGTCTACGAAAGTGTCTTTAGTCTCAGCGAGATGCTCACACACCGTTCCCTCTTCACCCAAACTCCTGATCCAAATCAAAACCCCGATACGGGCCCGCTACACTACGCCAGATGCCCTCTTCTCACCGAGAACCACGCACGAGTCGGGTAAATCTGAATCTGAGTTCTCTCCCGTCTTCCGCCGTTTGGCGACCTTGTTCAGCATTGCGAGTTGCTCATCAGTGACGTCCGCCCAGAACTCCTCTTATTCAAAGGACCGCTTCACGACTCGCTTCACGACGCGCCTCACTTGGTTGGAAATCTTGCGGGCGATCGGACCGTGCTCCTTTGAAAGCCACGTCAGCCAGGACGCCGCGTTTCCCTCGGTCACTTGCACGTGGTCTTTGACGCTCTCACACAGGGAGGTGAAATCGGTCGACTCGGCCAAGGAGAAGAGACCCTGCAAGGCAGGCGGGGAAAGGCAGTTGATACGAGATTTCTTGTGTGCACCCAGATTTCAAGTACCGAGTTGCTGATGCGGCAAGCGGAATATACAGGTTGGCCAGGTTAGGCGCAATCTCTAGGGATTGCAGAAAGCAAAGTTTGTTCTTCGATCGCCCAGACCGGTTACATGAGCATCCTGCGCGAAAACTTGCTGGCATGAAGAAAAAACCTACTCATTTACTGCTCAGCCAACTGCAAAAGTAATCAACGGTTAGGACCACAATATGTAAGCCATATTGGCGGGGGGTCCATCTTGCATGATACACCGCACATCACCACGCGCCTTGAAGTTGTACGAGAATCCTCTCGTCGGGGATTTGCACTCAAGATTCGGACGAGGAACGTTTCGGGCCTTAAGCTTTTGGTTACGTGCTTATCGCGCGTTGAACGCACTAATGCCGCAAAACGAAACACGAGAGACAGTCTCTGCTTCTCTTGCCAAGCCAGTCAGGCAAGCGAATCAACCACAGGTCCGGTGGGTCAGTCAAGATTCTTCTACAAGCAGCTGTTGCAGTCGGTACGATCACGACTCGACGTCTGCTGCCAGTAGGCAGCCCTTTCTGCAATCTAGGTCGTAAAAAAAAAAAAAGCCCAAAACCAGATTCGCTCTTCTCCAGGGTCTCTCGGCGTACTTTTGGTATCTCTCCAAATCTTTTTAGCGTACTCCATCTCACCACTGGACTCAAAAAGGCGACCAGCCCAGTTTCAGCCTAAAATAGTCGGTAGTAGGCCAGCTATTAACTTTTCAAAATCCCGTTTTTCCTGCTAACACACCTGCATAAGCGGCGCTTCGGAAGGCTCAAGTTGGTTCAGACTCGACGCAGCGTCTCCGTAAGCGAACTTGAGGAACGCCCCGACCACTTTTTCGTCCACCGGGCACGGCAGGTGGACGTCCAGCCTTTTGTGCATGTTCCAATCAGCGCCAGACCAGTCGTTCTTCAGCTTCGACTGGAAGTAAGGGATGCCAGCCAGAACGGCAGCGTGCGCCGGCACTTTCGAACCGTCCTGCACGCAAGATGGCGTCAACAGGTTACGCTTAACCCGAAATTAGACCTCCTGAAGTTGCATCGCAACAACTTAACCCTTGCGTCTCCTTGTGTTGGTCAAGACACTTCGAGATTGAAAACTTGATGCACTCTGGACCATGAATATACTCTGCACTCGTTTCCTGCTTTCACGGTAAGAAGGTCAGTCCGATTACTGTGGTACGAAGTATCGTTAGCTTTAATGGTAAAGAATGAAAACCACCGCGTTTTGGTGCCCAGTTGTTCACAAGCCCAGAAAGCGACCAAAAGTTCCCCCCAAGCGATTTTATTCGCTTTCCTTACCTTGCAGATGAGATTCAGGTCGCCGGTTGCTGGGGCCTCTTCAAGAAGCGAAACTTTGGAGAGAGCTTCCACTTTCTCCTCTGCACACATGAATACCCGCTGCGCCGACGGTCTGAGGAGGTTTGATGCCACCGTGACCTTGACTTTCATACTCAGCGGATGTCGGGGGCCCCTTGTCACGGTCCAAGAAAGCTGGCCCCCCCGGTTGTATTTGGTAACAGGAACTTCCGGCGAGCGTGGCGAGGACTGCAGCACACTTAGCACGTCGAACATGACACCCGGTTCGTTTCCGCGGTCCCTTATCCACAGGGTCTCCTGTGATAATCTGAACAAGATTTCGACCGACAACGTCCGCAAAAGTGGGTTTTCTTCCGGAGGCGTCACAGCGTGCGGGATCAGGAAGCGGTACAGAATTTCTTCTCCGGCTTCTGGGCTTTTGTGCATGCTGACGTTGTAGAGATACTCGAGCTCTCCTTGTGCTGCGCCCGTGTCTTTTTTCTTAGAGCTGCCCGATGTTTCCCACTCAGGAAGACCGAGCTCGATCCTGTAAGGCCTCACAGTCAGCGCACCCATTTTCTGAAGGCGAGAGCAACACACACGGAAGCTTAGCGGGTGACAGAGACCCTCCGCTCCTCACAGAACAGCGCAGAAAAAGAGCAGCCGCCGTGCAGTTTGCGCCGACAGACGCCGCTTGCGCCAAATGGGCGTGCGCGCACTGAGTGGCCGCGCGAGAGCGAACCCCGGAGAGAAAGAGCGCAGCCTGAGTAAAAGCCAAAGATCAAAGGCGCCCAAGGAGCCGCTGAGCAAGAAAGGAGAACGACTCAAGGGGAAAGAGTAGCCGTTTCCTACTCAAAAGAGGGTCTGAGCTTCTGCAGTCTCTGGCGAGTGGGGGAGGACGGGAAGGTCAGCTCAAGGAACTCAAGGGGCTCGGAGATGCTTACTCAAGAACGCGCCGCTTATACGATGGAAATTGCTCGTGCGAAGCGTTTGACGTTCCAAGTCGGCGCATCATGGAGAATCTCTGCCAAGACGCAGCGAATCGAAAGGCCCCTGATTTGAACGCACGCAGGTGAGTGACATGGGTAATTGCAAGCGTAAGTTCAAATCCAATGCCCGGAAGGCATTCAGAGTGATTCAGTATATTGGCTTGCCTCTCTTTTACGAAGTAAAATAGCAAGCTATTGCATTCGGGGCAACCGCGTGTCGGGCGACACTGTACGACGTGGCTCTGCGGAAAATAAGCATGTCCAGACTGGTGGTATTTCAACATGCGTGGTGTTCGATACGAAAACGTACGCAGACTCCCCCTAATAGTCCAGACCATGTTTACGTCCAAGCCTAGACTGCCCCGCGCGGCTGCGCAGATTTAATGCTACGAATCGTTCGCGGACGCGAAGTTGCCGCCGCAAAAAACCGTAACGATGTAACGTTTGGCCTCGATTTCTCCGAACAGGCCTGCTCTAAAGCTGCCACGTTGCATGGCGAGGTCAAAATAGCTGCCACGTCCTGATTCGTACCGCTGCCCAACACCTGACACTGTGAAGCACCCCGGGCTCTGAACGTCGAAATCAAGATTCAAAACACCCTTATCTGCGATGGACTCCTTCAGTACTGCTTGCCTTGGAATTTCAGAAGGTATTAAAGTGCCCGGAAGGTAGAGTAGCGAGTAGCCTGGTACGCACTGTAGAGATACCCACGGTGCGTACCAGAAGATGGTGTACGGATTAAGTCTAACGTGTGCGCGCGCTCGCGCAAGACTTCCATGGATAGAGCCACGTACAAGATAAATGCCAAACAATGCCCTTTTAAAATTTTGCCCAGTCGCACCACAGAGAGGCAAGCCCCCCCCGCCCTTCTGGGCGGTCTAGTATATACATCTGCCGAACCGCAGTGAGCCTGAGCTCAATACGGCAATTGTTAGAACTGAGCCTGCGCAACATGAAACCATGCCATTCCTGATTCCGAATTGCGACGATCGTTCGGACGCGCAGGTTTCTCATGCACAGGCTGTACTTAGAACACCTGTCAGTCTTGGCAGCGGGCGGCGATCTTTGGACTGAATTCAATGATTGATGCGCAGATTTCTGTGGATCAGTGCAGGTCTGTATATGGTCTGGAAATTGTGCAGGAAACGTTCCGACTCGATCAGCAAGCACCTCAAGTGTGGCTGGCAGTACTCCAACGATTGTGGCAGCTTCCGTCACCGATGGTATCATCGATTTTGCGCGGCCGGCTGAACTTGTGCAGGTCTATATACGGAAGAGTGACGGGAGTCAAGAAGTTGCTGAGCATTTGCCTTATGCGGCAGCCATGGAGTCTGGCATGCATGTGCGCGCACTGTACGTGTGCATGATGATTGAACTTTGACGAGCGCCGCCTCAGCATGATTTCGAGAGGCGGGCTAGCATGCGGTACTAGCCACGGCTTTCGAAACGGCGAAACGCACGGTAGACTGGTGTAACATGATGGACGGGCCGGGACAATCAGACGCTTCGCCAAAAGCGTGTAAAAAGAAATGTTATGGGAGTAGCTAGCTGGGTCGGAGGGACAAGGGTGATCTGTTGGGTGTTCATGGGAGTTGCTTGTGTAGATGAAACCAAACCGACTGCGGATACGAGGGGTGGGCTTGTCTACGAGCTCACGAAGACGAATCTTCAATGTTACCTTTTCAGTAAAGATGTCTATCTATGGACCCAAGTGTAGAAGATCCACTTCGGAATCGCTTGATCGGCAGCTCCCTCTGACTCAGATGTCAGATCATCTGCTTGTTATGTTGTCGCCATCAGATGCATACTTCGTGCATTCCATTCCACTCGAATCATGCGCTATCGCTCGATCCGCGTGCAGTGTACCCGTAGTCCAAGGTGATGATTCCGAATAAATAATTATTTTTTTGCATTCGGAAAGTCAGAAAATCAGATTCTCGATTCGGAAAGTGGAAATCCGGAAAGGTAAAATAAACCTTAAATGGCTCTCGGACTCGAAGCCGTAAAACTGCCAGAATCAGGCTAAAGTCCCCTTCTAAGTGAGAACATAGGGCATTCGGATTCTTGTCGGAATCAGCATAAATAGTTCCGCTTTCCTGGTCGGAATGTCGGAAAATAATCCGAAATAAAACCGTTCGGAATCATCACGTTGGACTACGGGTATAGGCGCACCGGCGTCACTGCCACGGATATTGCGTAGGCCCGGCCGTGCCACCGGCCAAGCATGCTGACGGAAGCGCCCATGGCCCGTCCCAGTATATGTGGTTCTCGGCCTGGCCGGTTGTGCGGTTCGCTCTCGCTGAGCTCAACATATTTCACGCCCGGTCAGTTTGCATGGCGGTCGGATTACTGATCGGCTTGCTTCCGTTGATCACGCGGTCGGATGCTTCATGCATGTGCATTAGTATGCGCTCGATCGTGCAGTAGTTCCTATGTCGCGCTAGCTGAGAACCTGATGAATCAGACAACCCGCGCAGTCGTGGTATCTATAGAAAAGTCCGAAACGGGCACCGATCAATTTGATGACTGGACTGCCAACATCATCGATTGCGATGTCGAGGCTAATTGCCTCAGTGAAGCATGCGCAGTACGTCTCCATTCACAGCGGGTCCAATCGTACTCAACAAACAAAGATCCGTCTCCAAAAAGCTTTAGTAGCCTGAAACACTCACAGACCGTTTCATCCAAACCAGAACCCTGGTTAAAAAGTAAACCCTTTTGCGATACCGTTTACACCTTAAGTTCATCCCTTAAGCTTGTCTGCTAACCATGTACAGCTACGAACTCTTCGAGGCCTTCCCCGTTTTCCTCCGTTTTGCCGCTACCTTGTTCAGCACCGCAAGCTGCTCTTCGGTCACGTCCGCCCAAAAGTCCTTGTCTTCGAAGGGCCGCTTCACCACTCGCTTCACTTTTCTGAAGATCTTGCGGGCGATCGGACTGTGCTCCTCTGAGAGCCACTCGAGCCAGGAGTCCGCGTTCTCCTCCGTCACTTGCACGTGATTTTTGACGCTCTCACACAGGGCGGTGAAAGCGATCGACTCGGCCAAGGAGAAGAGGTCCTGCAAGGCAGGAAGGAAATCGAGGCTTTTTGAGCCTTCTCGTGTGCACTTTGCTTTCACTCGAGGCATGAATGGTCCGCTCACAGGTCTGCCAAAAGACAGGCATATTTGAAGGCAATCACAGAAAGTCAAGGGTTCTCTTCCTCGAAAGACCGGTTTGAGCTTCCTGATATGAGGCAGACCTCACGTTTCAAAGTTTTAGCAAAGTGCAGGAAGAGGTAGCGATCAGGACCGAAGGAAGGTAAGTCCTCTCGCTTTTAAAGGATCCAACTCTTTCTGAAAGAAACGGAAGCAATGATCGTCCAAAAGCAGGGGTTTGTATGAGAATTCACTCGTCGGATATTTGCAAGCAAGGAATGGATGACGCGATATTTTGAGCACCGGAGGCGCTAGAAGTTCGATTACGATGCCCAGATTTTGTGATACACGATCAAACAGAGAGACAGACACAAGAGACATTCCGCCGCTCTTGACAAGCCAGGCAGGCTCGTGCAACTGATAAGGTACAGATAGGAACAATGAATCTTTTGAGAGTCTTCCAATCGAGTAGCTCTTATAGAAGGAAATGTCACCTGTCGAAGTCGGCTGCTGAAATACCATCCTTTTACTCAACGAGGTAACGGGAGAAAGAAAGGAGACGACTTGAGGAGCCCAAAATGTGATCATGGTATCTAGTTTGGGAGAGTCTGGTGGAAGCGTCAATGACCCACAAGAAATATTTAGATTAGACTTGCTCAGAAAGCAATGACCATATTTGAGCCTTGCGACTCCCGGAAATCAAACGTCACCCGAAATCCATTCAAAGCGGGTTTACGTTATCAACCCACCTGCAGAACGGGGGCCTCGGACGGTTCAAGCTGGAGCAGAGACGCAGCGTCTCCGTACGCGAACTTTAAAAACGCCCCGACCACTTTCTGGTCCACCGGGCACGGCAGGTGAACGTCCAGCTTCTTGTGCATGTTCCATTCAGTCCCCGACCAGTCGTCCTTGAGCTTTGACTGGAAGTAGGGTATGCCAGCAAGAACCGCGGCGTGCGCCGGGGCTTTTGAACCGTCCTGTACGCAATTTGGCGTTAAATTTTTACATAAACTGATTGAAGACCTCATGTGCGAGCATTGGAAAGGATTACCCTTGCATCTGTCAGGCAGTTGTTCAAGACCTTTTGAAATATGAAACTTTGCAGTTGTTCAAGCCCTTTGCAATCAAAAGTTTTGCAATCGAGTCCTTCAGTGCACTTTACTTTTGAGACTCTTCTTCTAGTGTAAGTTGGTCAGTTTACATAATTTCAAAGTAAATCCCCTTGCCTTCAACCACCTCCTCACAACAGTTATGATCTGTTGCCTGCTTCTCAAAACCCTCAAGTACGACCGCAAGATTCTTCTTAGCGACCAACCGCGGCGTGCAAGCGCCGTTTTTACCTTGCAGATGAGACTCAGGTCGCCCGTTGTTGGTGCCTCCTCGAGGAGGGACGCTTTTCCAAAGCATCCCGCTTCCTTCCTGAAACACATGAACACCTGTTGTGCCGACCGTTCCAAAAGGAACAAGGCCACTTTGACCCGGAAGAGTATTTTCAGCGGGTAGTGGGCCCCTGCCACAGTCCAAGAAAGACCATCTTCAAGCATCTTTTCGGTGACAGGTGCAGACTGCAGCACGCATACCAAGTCGAAGTCGATTCCTCGTTCGGTTCCATGATATCTAAGCACAAGGGCGTCCTGAGACCTGGTTGCAGAGATCGGGATGTCAATTGAGAATGTCCGCGACTCTAGTTTCTCCGCTGACGGTGTCACGGCGTGCTGGATTAAGAAGCGGAACAGGACACTCGTTCCGGGTTGTGGGCGTTTTTGCACACTGGCTTTGTAGGAATACTCGACCGTTCTTTGTGCTGCGTCCGTTTCTGTTTCGTGCGAGTCCAATGCTTCCAAGTGCGGATGCTCGACCTCGAACTTGTACGGGCTCACGAGCACTGCATCCATTCTTTCTGCGCGCTTCTTGTACGCTCGTAAGGTCAGCCGGCTGAAGGCAATTTCACCCTCCCTCACAAAGCAAAAGCACTAGAGAACGAGTTACGTATCGCAGACAGCGGGAGCTGGCAGCCTGAGGTGCATGGCCTCAATGGGCGCGCGCGCGCGCGATCGGACTCTCTGGCAGAAGGACTCGCGCAGCTAACAGGAAGTCGACGCCGGACTCAAAAACCCTAGCAAGGAAGGAGAAGGCTTGGATTTGGTCACGGAGAGGAACAGCCGCCGCTAGAGAGAGAACTGCGTATATCTCTGCGTCTGGATTGTTCGAGGAAGACGGGAAGGTCAGCACAAGGATCTCAAAGCGCCGCCAGGTGGCGAAGCCCAAGCTACGCGCGCGCTCTCATGATCTGAGTGGATTAAGATGGCTCATGCACAGTGTTTGACATTGCCCGGACGCATGGGATCGTACAGTACGGTGCCTCCGAATAATGGGGCACTGGCACCCTAGTAAGCGTGTAATCTACTGAGGAAACCTCAAAAGAGGGAGGGAGTTTCGGTAAACAAAGCCAATTCACGTGTGTGGTTTCGCATTTTCGGCGAACCACACTAACGCTCGACTCAGCGGGGCAAGTACGGTTGCCAGACCGCTTGACCCATCGTCCTACACTGAGTCCACGACGTGCAGGCATGGCGGGATTGTGTGACTTGGGCTGTCGCGGGGCGGCTTCTCTCGGACATGCGGCAGACGGTAGAAACTTTGCATATCTCGTTGCCAATTTCTCAAACAAGACTGTATAGAAGGTCATCATACTATATGATATGCGGGTTTGGCTTTCTTGCGCGGCAAGGCTCGCAAAACGACGATATACTAAAACGAGATTTATGTTGCAACAGAAACATGTCATGGAGTCGAGGATTGGGCCAATGATCGTATATGTGGAGGGTCATCGGCAATCGAAGCGGCGGCTAGAAAGTGAAGGCAATGGGCCACGGACGTCCGCCCATTTTGACTGTGCACTAGCTTACATGGCTAAGCCATCTAAAAGTGCCAGCTAGACATGCCAAATTTCTGCATATAGTCTCATCATGCTAATACATGTGCACACGTGCACACGATGATAGCTATATTTATGCCAGACGGCCTGGTCGCCGCGGATCACATACGCGGAGTATAACGTGTGGATCATGCCAGGCGCCCTCCATGTGCCATGTCAAGTCACTGAGTCAGTCGATCACCACACGGACGAAATTCTTACGTCAAACAATGCATGTGTACACCACATGCGATGCAAGTGGCTAGTAACTTGGAATAAGGATCAGTACGATCGCACATAGCGGCCAGGGCCAAACGGGCTCTCCAAATGCCGTTGAGATTCAGGTCGGACTCCTGGCAACGTCAAAGAAGATTACATGTTGCTGCTCTTGTGGAAGGCTGTCAAGCGCCGGCGAATGTACCTATACCTTATCTTACAACAGTTTCGTGTCACCGCCAAGTGATGGCCTCCAAAGCTTCCAGAACCGATCATGACTTGCGGTCACCAGAAAATCGACGGACGGAGACCATGCCACGTCAAACACGTGATCGGCGTGGGAACTAAGGACGTGGAGACATTCAAATGTGGACGTGTCGAAGAGGCGAGCGGTGACATCTCCGGATGTGGTTGCTAGCATGCGGCTGTAAGGAGAGAAAGCGACCCGCTTCACCTGCAAATCAACCGAGAATGGCAACATCAGATGGAATCCGGACGGCCCCTTTCCGCTTGGAAGACAAACTGGAGGTGTCAGCGTGCAAACGGTTTGTCGAAAGCGCCAAAATGATCTCAAATATCCCTCGTCGATCGGCGCTTTGACATATGTCCGGCAACATCAACGGGCGCACAAGCGACGTGATCCGAGAACGGCGTCCGTTTCTCGGGCTTTTGTGACTCGGAGCAGGTATCTAGAATGCACAGATTATTCTTGGAGCTGTTTAGATGGACCCTCGGCGAACGAGCCACTCAAGAACCAGCCCGCCAATCAGAGCACGCAAAAGAGATGCGCCCAAGAAACGGAGCCACCGAACCGAAGCCGCTAGCTACGAGGCGTCGTAGCAAGCGTTGAAAGCATCCACCATAAGTAGCGGTTGGACGTGCTGTCGTTGTTAGAGTTAAGCAGTGATAGCGACTGCTTATTTACTTCGTTAGTAAACGCGGGGTTGGGGAGTGAATTGATGAATCTTTACGCCGAATGTGAAAGCTCCGAGCTCCACGAAGCGAGACTGCTGAAAGAGCGGGGCCGCACCTCTCCCGTGTGCTGCCGCAGAACCGCGAGCGGCTGACCCATGCGAAGGTCCCACACCATGGCGGTCGTGTCGTCACTGCCGGTCACCAGTAATCGGCCCGACTCGTCCATGTCGACACCGATGACGTCCTGCGCGGCAAGGCTTGATGAGTCTGACTTTTCGAAACGCATCGAGGCTTGTTGATTGCCAGGTGTCGGAACCCTTGGAAATTGCCGATTTACAGTGACGTCAGCTGTGCAGTTTCAAAAAGCAAGTGGTGGGTAATCTGGATGAGTGGACGGTCCGGCTTGCCGTATCTGCCGTGGCTGATTAGGCTGGGTGACCGATTGAGCTTCTGGGAAAACGAAAGATCCATGCGTGAACGAGCTGCAATGCAGAGGCAGAATACGTTTGCTTGGAGACACAAGACGTATCATGCATCAGTCCAGGTTATTCTCTTCGTCTCAGTATAACGGCACCTGCGCAAGCTGTCAAGGCTTGTAAAGACGGTACGTTGGGACGTAAACAACCTGCTATGAGCAAGTACGAGAACTCAGTCGTGGGTAAAACAAACCGTTCTGAGGGGTGCTGACGAGTGCGAGGACACCCAACGGCCGTTTGCTCTGAAGGTGGTTCTGGTTTGCTAGTGCAAGTTTGCCCTGTCTGCAGCATTTCGTCTTAGGTACAGGCAAGGACGATATTCCCAAATAAAGCTCGGACCTCTGATCGTTCGTTTCCGAACGAAATGAGAGCGTCGTCTCACCTCTTGATGTCCCTCTAGCGTTTGGACGTCCTCTCCCGTCCGAGGGTCCCACAGCTTGGCCGTCCAGTCGAACGAAGCCGTGGCTATTAGGCTGCCCCGGGGCTGGAAGCAGACCCCATACACCGTGTTTCGATGGCCCTGCAAATGTCAAATCCAAAAGCTTTGGAACGAAGTTGAAACAATCAGCTTCGTCAAAGCTACACCTGAGAATACTTCAACTTTGCGATTGGGTCAAGAGAGCTGAAGATAAACAACCGCAAGGACAGACGGAATCCATGATCTGTTCAATTCGCGAGTGCAATTGCTGGCTGACATCTTTTGGTAGCTTCGATCTCTTGTCTTGGCTAGCCTGGATGTTAGCAAATCAAGACATTGCTCCTCAGTCTTCTTATGAACTATTTCGCCGCCAGCTGTCGTGTTCCAAGTCGGGTGCTTACCTGCAGTGCCACGACGGGCTCTGCCTTTTCGGTGTCCCAGATGATCGCCGTGTGGTCGTCACTGGCAGTGGCCAAGAGACTCGAGTTGGCCTGAAACGAAAGCCCGTTCACCTGCACATGAAGAAGACGACTGTCTTGAGCAAAACTCCTGCATCAGAGCATGAACTGTTGGTTCCGAAATGCAAGAAAGGGTGACCGCAGCACCTTCCTTTCAAGGGTGAGCTACGAAGAGCTGATCCTGTAAGGCTCGCTCAACCTACCAAAAGATCACAATGAAAAACAAAGGCAGCTCAATGTGGCTCTCACACATAGCCTCGTGCGCCCGGGGAACCGTCTCGACAATGGAACTTACTTCCAGCATGCCAACTCGAATACAAGGAAAAAGCATTTTTCTAGCATGAGGAGCGCAAACTGACCTCATCGGCATGCCCCTCCAACACCTGCAAACACTCCCCCGACGTCGCTGACCAAAGCCGGCACGTGTGGTCCGAGCTGACCGTCGCCACCAGGTCCGGCTTTTGCTTCGAGAACGCAATCGCGTACAGGCCCAAACTGTGGCCCAAAAGCTGCGTGACCTCTGTGCCTTCCTCCACATCATACAAAACCGCTCGGTGGTCCCAGGATGCAGTCCCCACTAGAGTGCGACCACTGGACGTCGTCCCTACGGCAATTCCATGTACCGGCTCGGAATGGGTGGCGAAGGTCTGAGCTAGCGTCCAGTATCCAGCATTCAGCCTCTCCTCTACCTCTGCGGGGGGTTGCCGCCAGCGTCGAGCAACATCTAACCGGGTTATGACTCCATCCCCCCGCTCGTTTTCTTCACACCCCGCCCCCTCGCTGTCGTAACCCCCGTCCTGCTCCACCCTATACGGCGGCAGGACCTCCTCTTGCAGCGACCGCAGCAGCGCCGCGTTCTGCTCCTGACAGCGTGCGAGCTTTTCGGCCAGCTCGAGCCTTTGCTTCTCGCTGTCGGCCAGCTTGCACTTGAGCTGCGCCCGTTCGATACAGGCCATCTGCCACCGGGAGCTGACCTGAGCCAGGATGCTCTTAATCTGCACATCTTCTGAGGCGTCCTTTGCCGTGCTGCTGACAGCCTCTTCCCCTGCGCTGCTCCGTTTAACGTCACTGGCTGCGGGCTCTTGATTGAAGATGGTGATTAGTTCCGTCCGGATGTTGAGGGACTTTCGGCAGACTGGGCAGGCGGTCTCGTTCTGGAACCAGATGTCAGCGCAATCTGCAAAGCAAGACGATATGCTCCTGCTTGGCTGTCCATCTGAGCAATCATCCCTGATGAATGTACAAAAGCAATTGCCCAGTTCACAGAAGCGCTGCTTCTTGCGTGGTTCATCAGATTAGGGTTTCAGAAAACTGTGCTCAACAAGACGGGCCGGAGTAGAAGATTGGATCAAGTGCTTACCAGAGCAGCAAATGTGGCCACAGATTGTGACACGGGCCTGAACCTTGTCGGACTGTGCATTCTCAAAACAAATGCAGCACAGTAGAACCATGGTGGTTCAGCCACAGAAGAGACCCTCTTTAGATTACCCACAAATGAGACCTCAGCAAGCTACCTACAGCTGGTTTCAGTCACCTTGTGATTCTTGGCCTCGAACTACCTAAGCCCTGAACCTACATTCTGTCAGGGCCTGCCAGGACAATATAATCCCGTGCCTTCTCTCAACTCCAGCTCAGATTGGTCAGATCATTTTGTACAGCAAAGAAGGTGGTTTATTGTTCCTAGGGTGGTGGCGTCTGTCTGCCCATTCCATTGAGTACTCACTAGTGTGCACTGTGGCTCAGCTCCAAGCTGGGGCGCCCATTGGATTCTGAGCCCTAAAAGTGAAAAGCTGTGTCAAAAATGTGCAATTTAAGCTGACAGAGTCGTTCCGTCCTCCTGCAAGCTATTCCGCCTCTTCCTTCCGCCGGAAAGAGGTTGAGCCGGCTACCGCACCGGAAAGTCAGCAATACTCACTCTCTTCCTCGGGTGAAACAAACTTCCAAAGGAGGCCAATCGGGCTGAGCGAGGGACAAGCTTGACGCATTCTGATTGGCTGGCAAGATTCTTTCCTTTGCCCCGGGCGCTCCTGCGACAAGCCTATGTTGGAAAGTTGCCAACTGCCGAGGGTGACATCACTAAGAATCGGAATCCCTACTTTGGAACCAATCGGCGACCAGCACCTTCCGCACTTGCCGGCACCTTGTGCAAAATCGACCGTGCATTTTGTACACTGTACAGCCGAATACCGTTAAAACACCTACCGTACCTACCTAGGTAGTGGTACAGCTTGAGTACACAGGCTGGTACAGAACGTAACAGAAGGCTGCCTGCAGCAGCTGAGAAGTCAACATGGAGACACATGCTGGATCCCCAGCTGCACTCTTGCACCACCTGCGCCAGAAGGGTGCCATTGGCATAGGCTTTTACTTGGAGAAAAGGGCACTGCAGATTTCAGGCAGCTCAAGTTGAAAGTGAACGCCCAGTTCCATGCTATTCCTGGAAGCTTGTATAGGCCGTGTGTGTTGGTCAAAAGCGGGGAATTTTACAACGGTGGCGCCCATTGGGAGCTCGAAGGAGTGAGCACATTGAGCTGAAAGGAACTTGAGTTCAATCTTAATCCTCCCAAAAGCTGCGTCCAGTATAATGATTGAAACTATAAGATCTGTTGCAACTGTTTGGGGCAGGACTTCTGAAACCTTGCAAAATTCCCCCCTTGGACCAGTGTAAGAGCAGAACTTCAGGTTGCAGGAGTTTCAGCAGACAAATCCCTGGGAGGGAGTATCTAAGAATCAATATTCGGGCGCCCCACTTTTGCAATTATGTGCGGAATTTTTGCATACTTGAACTGGAACGTCGCCCGAGATCGCAAGTTTATCTTGGAAGCCCTTTTTGGTGGCTTGCGGCGGCTTGAATATCGTGGTTATGACTCAGCAGGCATCTCAATAGATGCTGACACATTGAAGGGCTTCCATGGGGAGCTTGTCGCGAATGGAAACATCAGCGAGGCGCAATTTCCGTTTGTCTTCAAAAAGGAGGGCAAGGTCTCAGATCTTGTCGCTCACGTTTACAAAGGTGAGCTTCCTTCCTTTTCTTCCCGTCTTCAGATTGCTTTCGTGTTTTCTGAAATATCGCGTTTTGAGCTTGTGGAGCTGACTTTGTAGGAGGATTGATTAAACAAAGAACTCTGATTTTAAGATTCTTTGCAGGACGCACAAGAAAATATAACAAGACTTTGAGCAATATTTTGCAATATGAAGTGAGCAGAACGTGCGGCAGGAATATGTTGAGCAACTTGCGGTGCAGTTTGACAATGGCAGGCTGCCATAGTTGGCGGTTCACTCCTCTATTAGTCTGGTTCCTCGCAATCATGAAGCACTGGCTCATTCAAGGGGTACAATCTGTAGAAATGGTGGTATCATCAGTGAAAGTGAGGATTTGGCAGAGTTTTCTTGCAGGAAGCCTTCCTGAGAATGCGATGACAGCAGTTTCAATAAGAGCCTTGCAGCTCGTTACGGCTGGGGGCTGGAAGTTGCACTTTGCTTTGCACGGCCTCAGGGAACCTTTGTTCAAGGAAGTAAATATTTGAGCTAAATCTTAGTTGGAAAGCTGGAAGTAACCACCGCCCCTGAGTAGTGGGGTCAAGCACCATGCTTGACCACTGTCGTGAATCACTGCGCTTTGGCATCAAGCTTGATTCTTGCTTCTTCACCTGCAGGCAATTTGCGCGATCAATATCTATGCCCATGCAACTTTAACCACTCTTCTTAACCAGTTATTTGACTTTTGCCTAACCACTTTCTTTAAACCACTTTGCAGAGGTATCAGACCAGTCCGTTAATCTGACCGAGACATTCAACTACCACGCTGGGATTGCGCACACGCGATGGGCCACTCACGGCCAACCGTCCGCAAAGAACAGCCACCCGCAGACTTCAGGACCTGAGAACGAGTTTGTCGTAGTGCACAACGGCATCATCACAAACTATGTGGTAAGACCTTCAAGGCTCCTATCTGCTTGAAATGGGAGTAAGCTTCAAAGGGTCAGCTGAGCTACAGAATGTAGTCTTAAGAGAACATTGTACAAAGGTTTGGGGATTATGATGTAGCTCAGTGAAGGATTGAAGAAGCTGTCCCGTTCACTAGCTCCTCAGCAACCTGATTAGCTGCCGACTTTGCTAGTCTTACAGGCAATCGGTAAGAGTCACTTTCTGGAAAGTTCCGCATCTTTCTTGCCCCTATGAATGTGTACAAGCTGTTTGCGATTCTATGTTCACGAGCATGCTTACTTTTACTGTGGGAAAACTCGGGATACTATGTGGACTAGAACTACCTGGAAGAATCACTCAATCTGTTGAGCCTTTCTACTGCTTTCGGGATGCTTCCTTTGACACAGAGGAAGATATTTGGAAAAGTCGAGGGAAGAGAGGGAACCCTTCCTTCCTTCTGGAAACCTTTTGAAAAGGAATGTGGGAAATAAGTTTTCAATTGTGGAGAATAGCCTCTTTTGGCCTACTACCTGTTGAACCCCCTTGGGAAGAAGCCAAACCCTTTGACCACATGTGTCCGCAGGTTTTGAAGCAGACGCTGCTTCGAAAGGGCTTCGAGTTTGAGTCCGAAACGGATACGGAGGTCATTCCCAAGCTTACCAAGTATGTCTACGACCAGCTCACCAAGGATAAGAAGGGAGACGAAGTGATTCCTTTCCGGCAGGTGAGTTAACTTCCTTTCACCACGAGAGCGAAGTAGGTCAGAAGGGAAGTTTGGCCTTGCTAGAAGCTAGGTGAATCTCATGAGCGTTCGGTCAGACGAAAGTTGGAGTTTGTTACTGGCTAGCTTACTCGCCAGTCACCCCTTCTTTCTTCTTATTCATCAACCTTCTTATAATGAATCGACCATCCTAGGGGTAAGTCGAAAAAGACAGGCCTGGTCAACCAAACGATCGAGGTAGCGGCCTGTTGGCTCTTCCTACTTCAATAGCTGGTTGATCAGGAACTCCTTCACTGTCCCAAGACCACTTCTCATAAGTTGTTGAGTATCTGGCAAACACGTCTCAACGCAAAATCTCAAAGTTAGGTGATGTGGACGTAAGTCGTGGCAATCGCTGTGCATGTTTCCCTATTGTACTTAGAGGCTGGCCCGCTGTGCAGGTTGTGGTGGAGGTGCTGCGGCAGCTGGAGGGTGCGTATGCCCTCATCTTCAAGAGCTCGCACTACCCGAACGAGATCGTGGCCTGCAAGCGGGGCAGTCCCATGCTTCTCGGAGTCAAGGTGAGCACGCATCAAGGTTTACTAAGCTTCGCTGGTTCCATCGAACGACAGGGGGCTGGGAACGAAGTGTAGCTTTGATGGATTGGTAGAAACGAAGCCACATTGACAAGATGGTTTTCGGTTGACGGCTGTTGGCGATCTAGCTATTCAGTAAAAAGGGAACTTGCCCTCACTTCATCCCTGCGGCGGCAAGAAGATAAAAGTATTCTCGTCTTGTCGACCAGCTTCTAAGCAAGCCGGAGAGATGGAAATTGCTGCTAAGAAGTTTCACCTTGTCAATACGTTGCTCCATTATCGAAGAGTCGAGACGGTAACAAGTCAGTGTTACGAAAGACGTTGGCATCGCAGCTTTTCCTCCAACACAACGCTTGCGCAAGCAGATGGCATCATACCTATCCGCTTCCCTACGGATCTGCTCACCGCAAAGACTCTACATGATTCCATTTTTCCTATGTTGCAGGACTACCCCGAAAGCGCTGACCAATCCGCTGACGACACCGATCCGCTGAGCCCCAAGTCCCCCATCATATCTCCCGCAAACGATGCCAAGAAGCTGGATCTTCCGTTCCTGGATGCCGGCTCGCCTGCATCCGTCACTTTCCGCAAGGAGTACTTCATTGCAAGCGATGCGACCGCGATCTTGGAGCACACGAAGAAGGTCATGGTGCTGGAAGATGACGACATCGTGCACATCCATGTGAGTGGGGGCACACGTGGGAAGGATTCTTGAGCTTTGCCTTTTGAATGGCTGCTTGTCAGCTGAAGTTGCTCGCATTCGCTCTACATGACGAAGGGCTTTCCTTCTCGTGTGATTCAGCACTCTTGCCTGCAATGTTTCCGGAGGTCCTATTCAGGGAGGTTCAGCACGATCTATTGGGAAAGGTAAGGACATTCTAGATTTTTCGAACGCTGAACACCCGTTCTTCAGCCTTAAGTGTCGATGGAGCAGACCCTTCGGAGCAAGCGCTTCCGACCCTTTTCGACTCGAGGATTTGGGAGACGTGATCTGTTTTCGACCCTGGCAACAGGTCGCACCCCTTCCAGAACGGCATTGCGGGGGCTTGAATCCGCAAGCAATCCTCCAGGGGTTACTGCATAAGGTTAAAGGCGCAGTCTGACTTGAAGTGTGACTATTTTTCTGTAGGACGGCATCGCGGCGGTGTTCCACTTCAACCACGACGTGCGCAAGGAGAAGGCGGGGCGGCCGGACCGCGTGCAGCGCGCGCTGCACACGCTGGAGATGGAGGTGGAGCAGATCATGAAGGGCAACTACGAGCACTACATGCAGAAAGAGATCCACGAGCAGCCGGATAGTTTGACGACCACCATGCGGGGACGGCTGACGTCGGGCGAGGGGGGGAAGCCCAAGGGCGTGGTTCTAGGGGGGCTCAAGGTGGGGGTCTGTCGGGGTTTGGTTAAGTGCGGGGTACGGGCTTGAGGCTTCAGGCGCTCAATGATTTCGTCTGTCGGGCTGTCTGGAGGTTTACACCGAAGGGACGAGTTGGCGGCCTCGTTTGTCAAAAGGAATGGTCGAGAGAGTCGAAATGTCACCATTTCTTCTCTTTTAAGCTGTAGTAGGACCGGTCACGATCCGCTGCAACTCTGCGCTTCCGAGCTTCGTTTACCTCTACTCTCAGCATTCGCCTTCCCTCTTGTTGCTGTCCTTACGAGCCCTGGCGTACACCTTGCCAAAACTGATGTAAATTATCATCGCCACTCATCGGGCCTTCCAGTTGCTCACGTCATCCTTCCACGTCACCCCCCCCCCTCCGTCGGGCAGGAGCACGTGTACACGATCCCCTGCAGCCGGCGTCTCATTCTCCCTGGGTCCCAGTCAACACCATCCACTGATCTTCCTGACGTCACTTCCTGACTCCATGTTCTGACGTCATTGTCCGTTCCCCTCCCAGGAGCACGTGGACACGATCCGGCGCAGCCGGCGCATCATCTTCATCGGTTGCGGCACGAGCTACCACGCGGCGCTCGCGTCGCGCCAGATCATCGAGCAGCTGTCGGGGGTGCCCGTGACGATGGAGCTCGCGAGCGATCTGCTCGACCGGCAGTGCCCCATTTTCCGGGAAGACACCGCCGTGTTCGTGAGCCAGAGCGGGGAAACGGCAGACACGCTTCTAGCGCTGGAGTATGCCAAAAAGAGGTAAGGGGAATGGAGTGTTCTGTTTTGAGTTCCTTTTTGGGTTCGATTTTGAAGTTTCGGTGGCCATTTGGTGACTCGTCACGAGTCGGTGGATTGGCAGTGCCCCATATTCCGAGAAGACACCGCCGTGTTCGTGAGCCAGAGCGGGGAAACGGCCGATACGTTGCTCGCGCTCGAGTACGCTAAGGAGAGGTAAGACGAGACTGACAGGATTTAATATTGTTAAGAAGCTTGCTTTCGTTGGACATTCTGGTGAGGACGTATCGTCGTAGTATGAGCCAGAGGGGCGGATGCACTGCATTGCACGGGGAGACGCCAAGAAACAGCGATGTGGCATGGTGACCTTCATTCTTGAGAAAAGGACCACCCGACGAGGGGATATAAATCCTCCCTTAGTTCCATGTCCTGACTGCTGAAGCTCAGAAGACTCTTCCATTTACTAGCCACTTCCTCGAAGGGCGAATGGAACGTTCAGATCCCTCTTTTTGTCAAGTCGACACGTTTCCAGAAGTGTTTGAGCTTATTTAAAGATATCCGCCTTTATCTCCAGGGGCGCTCTTTGCGTGGGAGTCACCAACACCGTCGGCAGCGCAATCGCTCGGGGGACACACTGCGGAGTCCACATCAACGCTGGGGCCGAGATTGGAGTCGCGTCCACCAAGGCTTACACGAGCCAGATCGCAGTCATGACGATGATCGCTTTGGCGCTCGGTCAGGATAGCATCTCAAACCGGGAAATGAGGGAGGCGATCATTGACGACCTGCTGCGACTCCCAGGTGCGCGCGCCTATTTAGCAGCAAGAGCGGTTTAGGAGGTAGAATGTTTGACAAAGACGTTTTGGGCTCCTCATGTACGCGTTTAAGCGGTGTGCTGAATTAGACACAGAGGCCGGCGAGCCGTTGTAGCCTGCTTGCGTGAGAACAGTGGCGCATAACCATGGAATCATAGCAGCTGCAACCCATGATCAACCTAGCTCGTTATCCGAAGGTGCTTTCCCGAACGAACACTTTAAGTTTTGACACAGCATAATGAAGCAGCTCTAACTCTCATCAATCTTTCTGAGGCAAGCGCTTAAAATGCGTCAGAAACCCCGAGAGCCAGCGCATCTGAACGTAAGGATACCGAACTGCGTCTATCGGTTCTTCAGAAGCGATACTTGAACCGTCTTTACCTGTCTTTCAGAGAAAGTGCGCGAGGTCCTGAAACTGGACGAGGCGATGCGCGAGCTGGCGCGCGAGCTGGTGAACGAGCAGAGCCTGCTGGTTTTCGGGCGCGGATACAACTACGCCACTGCGCTAGAGGCAGCCCTCAAGGTCAGCATTCTTTTCCCGACCTTGTATAGACGCTGATTCTGTCTTCTTTTTTGGGGATCACGAGACCAGAGCTGCTTCTGTATAATCGTCCTCGTGGGTCACGAGATGAAAGCTGCTTGCGTCCGATTTGCAGTTCTCAATTTGGAGTTTCGAGCTTCGATACCCGATCTTGAGCCGTTCGATCAGTCGATTCTGTCAGCGGTAATGTCCAAGATTGCGACGTTGACGAGCTTCGACGTCCGAGGGCGACGGCTTTGACGCAAAGACCTGAACGTCGCAATTTTGAGAGGGCGCTCTGCCGCTGTTTTGTCACAACCCCGCTCTTACGAAAACCAGATTGTGCTCTTTCTGTGCGCCTTCTTCTCCTGACAAAGACCTGAGATCCCGGGATCGACAGTGAAGACCCTCCCTACTAGCGTTCAGCGAAGGTGTTCCTCGGACCTGATCCGAGGCTTTTGTAAGCTGATTGGCTCTATTAATTCCAATTCCTCCGACATTCTGCAACCCTGATTTCAGCGTCCTGAAGCGGCGACCCGTCTGCTGCGGTGCAGGTGAAAGAGGTCGCCCTGATGCACAGCGAGGGCATCCTGGCCGGCGAGATGAAGCACGGCCCGCTCGCGCTGGTCGACGAGACGATGCCCATCATCGTGCTTGCGACGCGGGACGCGATCCAACAGAAACAGCAAAGCGTCATCCAACAGTTGCTCGTGAGTGCTCACTTCGTGTTGCTATTTTTGTTGTTTGTTCCCCAAATCACGGTACGAGTCTTCCATTACACTTATTAATTCTACGGTCTTCGGTCCAGCAGAAGCAGCAGAACGTCATCCATTGATTGCTCGTATGTGCCCGCTGAACCTTTCTGTGTTCGTCGTTTGTTATCTGTTCTCCTGGTGTATCTTGTGGGAACTCTTGCTCGTGAGTAGCCGGTTATTCTTTTTTTATGCTCGTTGTCTGTTGCTTCTTCTGCCGATGTATTTTGTGGCAGCTGTTGGTCTGTGTGGAGCTTTGATCGTCTCGCATACTGAGAACGAGGGTCACAGTGGTCGGAGCACTCCTCGGCCGATGCAACTCCTTGTCCCCTAGATGCATTGCCTGGTTTAGCTGGAGCTGATGATACTTGCCAGCCGTTTGATGGACCGACTTTGAAGCATGGATTGCTCGGAGAGCCAAAGCGGTGGAAAGGTCAAAGTGCGTTTCAACATTTATGTGGGTTTTTGACAATCTAAAGGCGAGTCGATATGCCAGAAGTAACAATGAGCAGAGTCATCTCGTCTCGACTTTGTTGAGTAGGTAGCTCAACAGTTTGACAATCGAGCTCTTTGCTCGATTTCCGCTGAACCTGAGCCACCGATTGAGTCGAGGAACGTGTACGCTGAGAAAAACGCTGGTCCTTGTCTGACGCCTTCTCGTGTCGCCACGTGGCAGGCCCGGAAGGGCCGCCTGATCATCGTGTGCACGGAGGGCGACTCGGTGAAGATGTGCCCGTCCGGGAAGGCCAAGGTGATCGAGGTTCCCCACATCGCGGACTGCCTACAGACGGTCGTCAACATCGTACCGTTGCAAGTGAGGCTCTTTCCGCGTTCTATGTCTGTTTGAAAACCACTGGTCAGAAAGGAAAGGAGGCTCGAAGAGAAGCGCGGGATGCCTGTAACTGACTGCATTTCGTAACTTACCATCCATCTGGGGAAAGCGTGATGCAAGGGAGCAACTGCAAAAAGGTAGAGGGCTTGTTAGGAAAGGCGGGCCCGATTAGAGCATCCTTCGCATTGATCCGTGTTAATGAAGTAGTCCCACGTCTCCTCATCCTTCTTCTTTTGAAGCGAAGACTCTGGCTGCAAGTCGCATTGGCCAGATCATGCATTGGCTATCAGGTGAATTGAAATAAGGTGAAAAGCCGCCCAGAGCTGTTTTTTTTGGAACGTCGTTTTGAGCGAGACTGCCGAGGAAGCAGTTGCTTTCTCTTCTAAGTCGAGCCTTCGGTTTTCTCTTCTTTTACGTACTCGTCACACCTCTTTTAGGCCGGAAATGTCGTCGTACCATGTAATGCGGCGTCACGGCCAAACGAGAGACGGACACAATTGGTTGCAGTCTTTGACCAACCCGTCATGCTCGAATCGACGGGTTTGCGACGCCCAATGGTCGGTTTTGTCCACACGTTGCACTGAACCTTTTTCTTTTGCTGCTATTGCAGTTGCTGAGTTACCACCTTACGGTGTTGAGAGGCTTCAACGTCGACCAGCCCCGGAATCTAGCCAAGAGTGTCACGACAGAGTAGGCTGAGGGAAGCAGAGGCGGGTGATTACTTTGCTTTATTCTATGCGTTTTGTAAGCTCCCTAGAGGTGCATGTGTGTGGCGGAAAAGAGAGTTTGAAGTATCAAGACAGCTAGAAACAATAATCCGGGCGGTGCAGTGTGATAGGTGTCTGCAGCACTGTGGAAGGAGACAAAGTTGGCACTGAATCTGCATTACGAGACTGGAGTTTGACAGGTCTCCGACGAAGAAGCTCAAAACTAATCGGCTACAATTGAGACTGGTGGCAAAACGCATCTTGTGTATATACATGATGTTGCGAATTAACTTTCTCCGCAACACTGTCCATCTTTTATGCTTCCAAATTGGGATCTTGCTCATTTTTTGCCATTCCGAATTGGGCCCGGGGCCTGCAAATAGTCATGTGAAACATAAACAAGACGCTTCCAAGCCATATGGAGGTCTGCCCTAGCTCGCCTTTACCCATATGATCAAAGACGAACCACACAAGCCGCAAGTGGTGAGAATGCTTCAAGCTCTGCCATTCGTAGCCAACCCATACATGGACTTCGCTAGCCATGCAGCAGATCACTAGCCAATGCACAAAACCATGACGATCAGACATGTCCATGATGTGAATCAGCAACGCATGGATCTACAGAAACTCGAACCTTCGATCACAACAGTTGATTGATCGAGCAATTAAAGTATAGTCTCAATCCTAAGTGATTTTGAGTAGAGGCAGCTCTACGTACTGGATATATTGCCATAATGAAGCTTTTTCATGAAGCACGTGCCACATGCGTTGCATGCATAAATAGCTGCAGCCATGGATCCTGATACGTTGCAACAGGCAGCCTAGGTCTCGCCAGCCTGATCTGGGTTAAGAGCAGGTTATATGTTTCAACTACAAAACTTCGGAAGCCGCACAGTAGCTGTCGACTCCCGATTCGACGTACTTTTTGGAGCCCCATCCTCCCTGGATCTCATATCTCTGAGAATTTCGACGCCGCATCGAACTTGTGTATATTTGTACATCCCGCATGTAATACGTCGATTGGGGTTTGCACTACTGACCCGAATCATCCTCCCTCATGCCAATGCCTCAGCAATGGGCTCAGCTAGACTTCAAGTTCATGCAAGCTGTTCAAAGCCCAAGGTTCTGCCACCTTATTTAGAATTGGTGGACTCGTGAGAAAGAAGGGGCCAGCTGAATGCCGCAGCACCACGTTGTATTCAGGTTTTGGTAGTTGGACCAGCTGAGACCCACCTTTTCACTTCCTTCAGCTGATCAGTGTACAATGCAATGGCGCGGAAGGGGATACTTGCGGCTTGGCAGTTTGCGGTGCTCTCAATGTCATTGCTGGGGTCTGCACTTTCAGGTCAGAATGCTGCACGCTTCTCCATGCTGCAGGTTAGATACCGGCTAGGATGTCAGTGATCATTGACCCTGATGCAGTGCAGATTTCCTGGTTGAAAACTTGTTATCGTTTGGGTGGAGAAGCAGAGCTTACCAGGCCTGTGAGAATCCGCATGTGTTTTGGGCTCTCAAAGGTGAGGGTGTTTGTTCAAAGTCGTGATGCAGCACTAAGAGTCCAAAACCCCTTTAAGGGGCTGAGCTTCTCCACGGTGAGTGTGGATCGCATGGTTGATCGAAGAGTTTCAGCTGACAACAGAAGGCAGCTTGAGTTTTGGGTTAGCTGAATGCCCCATCACACTGGGATTCACAATCTCTCTCTTCAAAAGATTTCTCCTTCTATACACCTTAAATGGTAGAATAGAAGTCTGAACTTTTGAATTTGCACCAAACACATCCCTCCCCCCCCCGCCTTTTGCAGGCAAGATCTCAACAATAAGCCCTGTAAGGCCGCTTGTGTCTGGCCTGAAGGACTCAGACCTCCCTCTTCCCTACGAGGGGGACACAGTGACCGCTGTCAAGGTGTCCCTCGATGATTCGAGAGTGACGCAACCTGAGGGCCCCGACAAGGATAACATCATAGCAGACATTCAAGGAGCGGGGCCGACGTCCTGGTCCATTTCGAGATGGAACAAGGGGGATTTGGCCATGAGGATTGCCCCAAGGTCAGTATCACTATGGCTTGCCCTTTTATGGCAGAGTTCATCTTGGGTTCCTGTTTAAAAAGCAACCTCCAAACGGGGATCTTTCAGATCGTTATACATCATCAGCTGCCGTTTTCCTAACCAGGGACCCCGGGATACCCTCTCCCCTACTTAGCAGCTTTCTCTTGAAGTTCACCCACATTGCAAATTCAAAATCGAAGGAAGCTCAGCGTTCACCAACTCATATCAACCGTGTGAAAATCGAAGCACGCTGAGCGCTCTCTCAATCCTGGGCTGTTCAGAAGGGGGTCAACACAAACCTGAAAAGGGACCAGAAGTAACAAGCAGGGCACAAAAATCCTCTACAGGCACTGTTACGCCCAAAGCAACCTTGGCAATCCAGGGTCAACACAAACCTGAAAACTGACCTGGAGTAAGAAGCAGTGTAAAAATACTCTGCAGGCACAGATACGCCCAAAGCAACCTTGGCATCCCCCCCGGAGACCAAGGATTCACTACCAGCGATCCAAAGGACTTCTCAGCTCAGGCGTGGCGGCCGCATCCCGAGAGAGGGGTCACGCTGGCCAGTGTCGCTCGGAATGGGGTGCGACGGAACCGGGAAGGGCCGGTCATGTATGGAGTGGTTTCGGCGTCAACGGACTCTAGTGGGTATGGCTACAGGTGAGCAGGGAGCGCGTGGTTTGAGTGTAGATTTGAATGACTGAGTGGAGGGTTTCCGTCTCAAGGAGTTGTTCAGTATTCTATCGACAACTTCCTCTTTTTTCTCTGGAGGATTTAGGACTTGCAGCTTCGGTCAGGTCGAAGAACTCTCAGCTCAGACAAGCTCCGATGGCTTTCGTTTCAGACATCGTATGAATCCGTAGCTCAGTAGAAGCCAAAAATATTGCATGCTGTCCCAAATTTTTGCACTGTAGATTGCATCTACTTTTCTCGCATGCGGTTCCGTTGATGTGCTCTCAACGACCCATAGAAACCGGCCCGATCGACACGCGTCAAACAGATCTTTCTTGGGAAACAGTGTCAACCCTTTGTATCTCGGACTTGGAAAAGTTGTGGCCCTAATAAGCGTTTCCCTGTCCGTGCAGCATGACCGACGGCACATTCGGCCACGAAGACCCGTCTCTCGACAGTAAGTGCCCTCTTGTTGTGCGCTGCCAAAAGCCATCGAAGAACCGGCAGGCTTTCTTCGAGCGCTCTCATGACGGACGGTATGGTCCGTCCGTTAGACGAGAACCCTCAGCGGCTGCTGTGATCGTTAGCCCCCTAAAAGGCGACTGGCTTTTTGACAAGCTTCTAGAATTCAGAAGACCTGATCAGATATCAGCAGATCAAGTTTCACCAGGGCATTAAGGATGCCTCTCGCTTTTCTCAAGCCCTTCTGAGCGTGGTCTCAACAATCTGCGGTTTGCTTGTGCAGTCAACGTTGGGGCGGCAGGCTCCGTGGGGGAGAGCAGCATCGACTTTGGGGTCGCCTGGTTTCCATACGCTCAAGGTAAAGCAGGACTTCAGTCGATTAGAACGGACAACTCTTTTTTTGTCGTGACATCTCCTTTCCGTGCTCTGCTGCTCTCCTTTCAAAACGCCACGACTAATCCTACACGGATTTGCCCTTGCTGTACTCAACCATCAAACGTTCGCCCTTGACTCTCGGTACTCTACCTTGTTCAGCGTCATTGTTTTAAGCCGTGGCTACGCTCATATACACAGGCTTCAATTCGTTCTTAAACAGGCACTTTTCGTTCCGTTTCCTGGAGTGGCCAAAGCGAAGCTAATCAAGGGGATTCAATCCTCATTGCGAGACGATTACTCATTCCGCTCCGTCAAGGGTTTCCTATTGAATCGATACTGCCGTAAAAGAAGCGTCAAAGGTCTGCCCTCTTTTGCCCTCTGTTCATCTCCACATCTCCTCTTTGACTAATAGGTTGCGGGGCACCTTGAAAAGATTGACATCTGCAATTTCGGCTTTTCTTCGATCCTCCCGCTTTCTCTGCAGGCTGGATCGGCGGCTTCCTCGCGGCTCGATCCAGCGCTTCTGCTGCTGCCACGTGGCTCACACGTGAGTCGAAAAGCCCAAGCTTGCCAAACAACGCAGGGGAGGTGGTGACGTGGTGGGCGAGGGGTGCTTACGTCAGGCTCCCGAAGGTGGATCCAAGGAACGACGGGATGCTTTTGACGATAGCGTGAGCCTTCTTTTTTTGTTCAGTTTCTATGATGTTTATTTCAGCGAGTACTCTCACGACTCTGCCTGACGGTCGGTCATACCTTTCGCAACAACTGCCAGGCTGGTTGGTATAAGCTTCGCAATTGTTCTGTCGCGCTTCTTTCCGTGTCTTATTATCGCAGAGTGTTGAAATTGTTAAGAGCCTGTCAAGCCAGACTCTACCCTTCTGGTATGGACCAATCTAGACATTAGTAGTCCACTCCCAAAAATCCACGCCGTGTGTGACCTTCTGATGCTGAGCTGAGGCCGCCATTAAAACCTCGATGCAGATTGAGTACGATTTCCTCATACGTACTAGCGGTTCTCATTCCTGACCTCGAAGAAAGCGGAACGAAAGCGCAATACCAGATTCCACGGCGTTAAGCAATTTTCTTGACGCTCTTGCTTTGCGGCCGTCAAAGTTCACCTGTACCTGAGTATGTTCATTCGATGCAAAGTACGCTCTCTATGAAAAGGCCAATCTTTTTGCGCTTTTGTCTGACAAAGCACAAACTCACACCGTTGATTCGCCTGCAGGACCGATTCCGGGCAGCAGAACAGCGATACCAACATCGTGTCCGTTTACCCCGACAAAAAGTGAGCCGCCAAAGTCCTCGCTCAACCGGTTCCGTGGGACATTTGCACTGGTTGCAACTCTGAACGAGCTCTTCGGTCTTGGCATCTGTATTATTTCACCAATGTCTGTCAAGCAGAATTGTCTATTTGGTGCAAGGTAGAAAGACGATATTCGGACAAGGAGGCCTATCTTGTTACTTTGATCCAGTACTCAGGTACTTCACGAGGTCAAGCCGCCTATGAGAAAAGCGCTTCGTTCATGTGCGAAGGATAGTGCGAAGGAGCCGTGTAAAAGCTTTCTCCTCCGTAAGACTAACGGGAGATTTTACAGTTTCAATCCCATCTATACCGAGGAGAAGTTGTATACTTGTCGGCCCGTATTTCTAAAACCTTCTGCTTTTGTTTTGGCAGGCATTGGGTCTTAAACGTGCGAGAAGACTCACAGGTGAACCCGGGCGTGGTTACCGTCCTAAACCAATGGGTCTTCTCCTTCCTGTACATACCGTTCTCAGCAGACGGGTAAGTCCCCATGTAACACGAGACATTTTTGCTGCAAGAGAATGGTTCCGGTCAAAGAGCGCCGTTGAAACGGAAACGCCTCCCATCAAATACATCAGCCTGCAGATAGATTGCAAGTACAGGTTGCGTAAGATCAGTTGCTGAACGTGGGAAGTTTGGGATGTAGTACATCACTCCGATGTGGAGAGGTCATTGGCCTCCGATGACAAGAGATCATCTCCCCCTCCTCAAGAGATCCCTTGTTGCAGGGTTAGCCGTGACCAGTTGCGGTGGGAGCAATCACAAATCATGATATGCTAATCATCCAATCTTCAACATCGAACGGCTGAGCTTCTGTCATCCGCCCATGTTTGTCCTCGTCAGGTTGCTTCTGTTAGGCGCAATTCGCCATGAGAGGCTGCTTGAATCCCCTACTGCTTCACACAATCTTTTTCGTGTTTCATAGCTTACGGGAGTTCTCTTTTTTCGCATTGTGAAAACGCGGAAAGGGTCATTGTTTCGTTTTCAGGTTAATCGGGGGTTGGGTTAGCGGAACCGACGGCAGCCTACGGCGGAGCGCTGGGGGCCCGGCCGTGAGACGGCTGGGGGTCGGACAGTACGAGATCGATCCGCGTTTAGGAAGGGCGTCCGAAAGGTTAGCTCCAGCCGCTGTGCTGACACGCGTCCGGCCGCGCTCGCAACATCTGACTGAAATGTACCTTCTTGTGGTGAATCAGCTGTATCAATCAAGTGCGGAGATTTATCGTCGAACAAACTTTCTCCAAACTTTATCGAACGAACTTTATTAAACACTACGAGCAGGCAACCAGATTGCAGCCGCCACCTTTCCTTTGCCCTTCGAGACTTGCAAGCAGTTGCAACGACTTGCCGTCTTCTGATGCTCAACCTCTTACTTCTCGGGCGGGCTTCTGCCACGTGTCCCCTTCTTACTCGAGCCACGTGTCTTCCCTAGGGACGGCATCCTCCTCCTCCAAGTCGCGGACAAGGAGCCTGCCGTTTTGGACGCCCTAATGGCTCGGAGCGCTTTTCTTTCGTACAACTACAGTGGGGATAATAAGATGTTTGTAGAAGCGCGGCGGGTGATGGCTCATAACCCGGGCGCGGATCTGCAGACCGATGCGGGGGGGGTGCGGCATGACGTTCCGGTGGACAGGGGCGAAGACTTTCCGCTGGTGGATACAGGTGAGCGGAACGCGGAAGTCACTGGTTTGATGTCGTCTGCCATGCAGGGTCGGCTTGTTTTTTGAAGTCTTTACCCTTTTGAAGTGGTTGTGAATCCAAGTACAGGTTTTCCACGCAAATGTCTTCTCGACGATCGTATTTTTCCTTCTAAAGATGGCGTGGGCTAAGCTCTTTTGTCGCCACGCGTAGATGCAAACCTCATTGCAGCCCGAAATATGCGTCAGCAGATGGTTACGATGTCACAATTGAGCATGGAAAGACCATCCGTTCCGTCGATTACTTACTTTCGCACCATTCGGAGCCCATTCCAACTTTAAAGCTATCCAGATTGACAAATTTTCCGCACGCTCAACAGCCCAATGCTTTTCGATCTCCGTAAAAAACTATTTGAAACCTTCCAACCTAGCGACATTGGAACTCACTTCAGTCTTGGATAAGATCCAATCAGACGGCCCGAAGATGACTGAAGCTTGCATGTTTTGCCGCAGACTTCTACTTTGCTTGGGTCGACTTCCGGAATCCTCTCAGTCCAACCGCGGGCTCGGCGTCGTTCTCTGGGCCTCGTTCGAACAACGGGGCAGGGTTTGGGTTAGGGTTTGTTTTCGGTCTGGTGGGCACTTTGTTAGTGGGCACGGTCACGTGGATCGTTCTCAAGTACGTATATCATCGGCCACGTGGCGGCCCGTCTTTGGTCGCGATGAGCGAATTCGGAAGGGACGACTTGGACTCTGATCTGTTGGAGTCTGCGGAGGAGTACCGCTTCCAAGACTGAGTGAGACCTGGAGGAAATAGTAGCACATAAGGTTCCCAAAAAGGGGGGTCCGTAAAGGCACTGTTCCGATTGAAGCCCTCAATCTGTACATATGGTCGACAAATGAAGCGTTCCTCTGCGAGGAGCTGATATCCATTATCTGGACAAGAGTTAGCACGCTGTTATTGTTACGCGGGGCGCAAGACAGGCATATGCCTGCAAGACTGCAGTGCATCCAAGCCGCCGGCGGCAGCAATGCTGCGGGCCCTTACCGACGACCAGTCTTCAAAAGATAGAAAGTGCACGAATGTGTAATCTTGATACACAAACGCGCGCCGCACATGTATCGTAAAGTGCTTCTTGTGTCAACTAATATCACGCGGGCCATTTCATCGACTTACACGCCCAGTCATTGGCAAGCTTTAACCGCCAGGCTGTCCACCAGCCCGCGTGCTGCTCCAGCTAGGTAGAATTCTAGCTAGGAGGTGGGGGTCCATGTAATACACAGCCGATCGTTCGCAGTCCGGTGAATCTTTCATGCAAAGACGCAGCTGGCACGCGCAAGCCCTTAGTTCGCTTTGGTCATGCATGTGACGGAAATGAGGTTAATGATTGTCACGATTCGTCATATTCCAAGCCAAGGTGCTCTATGCGCGCACTACGTAGATGTTTTGCCCTTCCTCGAATCGATCTCCGATTTCCCCTTCTGTATGCATTTCTCGTGTGCGCATTCCCAGGTACTAATTTGGTCTCCGACTCGAGTCTGCAACGGATCTTACTGTAGAAGTCCATTACCAAGCGTCTACAACGTCAAGCTACACTGTACGGTACATGCATGAGCCAATATGATTGTCTCGATTTCCAGCTAGAGATCAGTGCCAGTAAGCGGGCGCGTTTAGCTCCGACTGGGATCCCCCTTGAGTTCCTCGCGCTGACCTTCCTGTCTTCCTCGATCGTCACAAAATGCAAAAGCGCGAATCGTCTTCCTACTGGGAGCTCCGCTAACGTACTCTTCTTCCTACCGAGTTTCTCTCCTTTCTTGCTTGGCAGCTCCTGGAGCGCCTTTCGCTCCCGTCCCTGCGCGCGTCCGCTGCAGCTGCGCTTGCTCTGCCAGGGAGGTCGCTCGCGCGCGCACACTCTGCGCATCAGCGCGCGCGCCGCAGTCTGTCTGTCGCTTTCCGCACGACGTGGCCTTCTCTGTCTCTGCGCCGTTCTTTGAGAGAGGGAGGAGTTCGCTGAAACCCACTGACCTTACACGAGCGCGGCAGTTACCCTAAGAAAATGGATGCGGCCACTCTGGACCCCTACCGAGTCGAGGTGGAGCTTCCGGAGCCAGAAGGGTCCGGGTCGGACTCAGATGAAGAAATGGACGTGGCAGCAGGCAAAAAGGTTTGGTATTCCTACGGTGCCAAGCTTGGAGAACGCCCAAAAAATGGAACAGCAAAGCTGTACCGTTTCCTGATCCCGCACGCCGTGACGGCCCCCGAAAAGCAACTAGAGTCGCGGACAATGTCGGTCGGGATCACGGACCTTGCGAAGAGGTCAAAGGAGGGCCCCCTCGTGATAAGGTACTGTGAATAGGGAGTGGGAGACGAGTTCAAAGTGACCTTCGTATATCATTCATGGAGCTCGCCCAAAATACCTGTCACCAGATCGGGAGACGGTTTTTCTTGGACTGTGACAAAGGCCCCCTTTCCGCTGAGCATATACGTCAAGGTTGGGGTGCCTTGGACAGTTCTCCAACCTTCGGTGCAGCACGCGTTCCTGCGATCAGGGCGAGTGACTCAAAAAGCGTCTCTCCTCGACGAGACCCCAGCAACGGGCGACCTGAGTCTCATCTGCAAGGTGAGGACGGCAAACCACAGGAGTGTTTGGCCCTCAACCAAGGACGGTTCTGGGCTGGTTCTGGGCTGGTTAGAAACCGGTTATTTTTCCAGTAACGTCCAGATTAATTGGGCGCTGCAAAGCCTTGAACAGAGTTAAAGCCACGGTTCATTGTCCAACAACCCAAGAGTCAAAGTCTGGGTAGTCAGCAAGTTGGTTGGCAGCCAAAACTTCCTGTTAACGCATCACGCCAATTTGTCGCAGAGGCGAATTTGCATCTCGTCAAGCTGTTGTTCAACACCCTTTGATTCTGGCGAATGCTACTGTTTGGACTTTTTGATTGCAGCATTCTTTTCGATTATTACAGCAGAACTTTCCTCATCGGTTGTTTCTTTGTTGCATCAAGGAGCCACGTGCCGAGTCCTGGTCAGAATAACGTTATACTACTTTCCGTTTCGTCGTCCCGTTAGTGTTGGGCTGTGCTAGAGGCTTCAGATGCTTTTTCAGGACGTCTAACTCTGGGTTAAAGGTAACCCGTCGACGCCAACTTGCGTGCAGGACGGTTCGAGAGTACCGGCGCACGCAGCCGTCCTGGCTGGCATTCCGTACTTCCAGTCAAAGCTCAAAAACGACTGGTCGGGGGCTGACTGGAACATGCACAAGAGGCTGGACGTACATCTGCCGTGCCCGGTGGACCAAAAAGTGGTCGGGGCGTTTCTCAGGTTCGCGTACGCAGATGCTGCGCCCCTGCGCCATATCGAGCCGTTCGAAGCCGCCGCCCTGCAAGTGAGTCGGTGAATTCATTCGTTCTGAACTTCTGATTCGACTCCAGATACCGTTTGATCATCCGCCTTTCCAGGGCTGAAACACGGTAACCGCTTCTTGGGCATATGAGGTTGAGGTGGAGAAAATTGGATTTCCTGTGGGCGATCAAGAGTCCGTCAACAGCGTTCGAAGTGTGAGACAAACAGGTCTTGGTTTTCTTTATGTCGTCATCTTTCAGGTTTCCAGGTTTCAGTAAGGGCTACCATTTGTGCAGCCGACGTCGATTCGTGGGTCTCCTTCTTTGAAAGCTGCTCTATCAAAAGAACCTTGAATGCTTTTGTTCCTTTCTGGTCATTTCTTGGTTGCATATGCTTGCTATAATGGCAAGGTTATCGGAGACTTTGTCTATCGTCTTTTTCTGCTGTGTGACTACTTTCGGCGCAAAAAAGCTCATGTCGCCCCGGGTCGCCCAAGAGTCGCGTCATCCGATCCTCGACCGCAACTGCTTGACGATACCACCTTTCAGCGTTCTTGGTGTAATAACTTTTACCTTTACTGAGCAGACTTTGAACCCATTAGTAGACATGGATCTGAAATTCCTTTGGTACTGACTGGTAGATTGCTACTCAAACTTGGATTTCTGGATGAACATTAATGTTCATCCAGAAATCCAAGTTTGAGTAGCAATCTGACTTGTTTCTCGGGTTAGATGAGCTTTGAGTAGGAACTCAGACCAGTCGTTCGACGTTCAGAAGCAACGTCAAATCGCCCAAGTCGCCCCTCTGGATTATTCAACCTGTGAGACGCCGAATCGCGCTTCCATTCCGCGATCAGAGCCACGTGCACGGGAGAAGAATCGGCTCGGCAGTTCCTGAATCAAGAATCACCGCCTGTGTTTTTGTTTTCCATGCAGGACCTCTTCTCCTTGGCCGAGTCCACCGACTTTACCGCTCTCTGCGGGAACGTCAAGAATCACGTGCAAGTGACGGAAGAGAACGCGACGTCTTGGCTCGAGTGGCTCTTAAAGGAGCACGGCCCGATCGCCCGCAAGATTTCGAGGAAAGTGAAGCGAGTGGTGAAGCGAGAGGTGAAGCGGTCTTTCGAAGAGGAGCAGTTCTGGGCGGACATAAACGACGAGCAGCTCGCGATCCTTAACAAGGCCGCCAAACGGAGGAAGACCGTGAAGGCCCCGGATTGTTCGTAGATACGTATCGGGAAAACCGTTCGAAGTTCCAGAAGCAACAGCTTGGATGGGGCAAAACGGGCAGGAAAACGATTTGACCGATTGGGACGCATGGCATAGGATATAAGGTTTACGATTTTTGACTGAGGAGATCGAGTGGTTGAAGCGATATGAAATGGTCTGTGAGCATTTCATGTGCAGGATAAGGACATTCTGGGACATGCATGGACGACGTTGTCTCCAATTAGAATAGAGTCTGTGGATGTAGACTGTGCCTCATGACTAGCGTGTTGCGAAAAGATGGGCGGTCCGCTTTGCCGGAAGGAGGGTTGGTTGGATCGACGTCCGTAGATTTCGTAACAGAGTGATTGCAGGTTGTCATAGTGGCCGAGAAGCGGCATGTATGGAGCATCGCCGGTCCGGCACGTCGGGCGGACGTGAAAGAATTCATCGAACGCAGCGATCCAAGCTCGACTAGCTGCAGTGCGGATGCATGCGTGGTGTCGGTGACACGCTCAGTAATTGCATTGAGATTGTCATAACCAGGGTAGGCTGGTTGGACTCGATCGGAGTACAAGTCCAATTGCTCTGCGGCGCCGCTTCATCATGGCATGATTCTTAGCGTATGGTTAAGCATGCACTTGCTTATGCAATGTTATGCTTATGCTTATGCAATGAGCTCTGCATATATGCTCTTGCTTATGCTCATGCTCATGCAATGAGCTCATGGCATAAGTAACCATTTGGTTCTAGTACCTGGCAATTGGTTACTGTGGAGCTCTAGGAGTTGCCAACCACATATGAAAGCGGCTAAGCAGCCTACCATAGTATACACTAAGGGTCTTCCCCGCAGTCTCGGTAGCGAAGAGGGCCATGCCAAGTTGTTGCATCTTTTTGACGCCAGCCCTCGAGATTGTTAGAACGAGAATCAAGAGTCGCCCTTGCTGCCACCTCTCAACGCCCGTAAACAGCTCTTTACACTCGAAAGCGTACTTCATCCAGGAATCGTCTGCTGAACAGGTCCAAAGAATCTTGGGAGCTCGAAAGCCTGCCGACTTGCCAAGTGCTTCCTTGGCGAATGACAACCGCCCCGCTTTCTCACACCAGTGCTTATTGCACATTTAAACGGGCAAATCTCCGTCGCACACGCTTCTACGGTATCGGCTCTTGAAGCAGCTGTTGCAGCCTCGACTCCTCCCGCTCTAGTTTCTTGTGCTGGGCCTTGTAATCGTTGTACGCGGCTTTCGCCGCAGCCATTTTCTGCTCCAGGTCCGCCACCTCCGCGTCCAACAGGACCTTTTGCGCCTCCAGCTTGGCTTGCATCTCCGTGATCTCCGCCGTGTATTGTTCCCGTTCCTCTGCAAATCAGCCAGCGAGGCCAATTTAGTGGCTCTGTCGGAGGAAATTTTGCAACAAAAGCCCCTGAAAAGGGCGTGGATACACCCGAGATATCTTCCAGCTCTCTTTTCCAACCAGTGGCTGATCTTGTCGACCAGTTTTCCGACAAGATGTGAGACCAAGGGCCTACTGATTTCAGGGGGCTGGCCTTTCAAGCTTTGGCGACGAGGGAAAACGATGAAAGGCTAGTGGTCGCGGTATGAGGACCCACTACTCACTTTCGCGCGACCGTCAGTGCTGCTCGCAATCGATCTCGTCGTGCGGGAGCTCTTGCTTCTGTCGCTTTTCCTTTTCCTTTTCTTTCTACAAGCAGCTTCAACGAATCTCCGTCCGTCTTTTGACTAGAAACGACAAAAGAATTCATCTCGCACCCGTCTCCGCTTGTTCCGAACCCGAAAAGCAGCTCTGTCTTGAATCTCGCTCTTTTTTGACGTGAAGAAGCAATGGACGGAGCAAGGGGCGCTTACGATCGATCTCGGCCTGCGGAAGTGCCATCCCGAGCTGCTTATACGCGTCGACCTTCTTCCGCATCTGCTCCAAGTTGGACTTTTTCACCTCGCCGACGCCTTTTTTCACCTCCTCCCACGCCTTCTTCTTCGCCTTCTTCACCTCGTCCACCGCTGCGGTGTAAATTGGCTCCCACGCGCCCCGCTTCTCTAGTTCTTGCTCGGCGATGTCGGAAAGGCTGGCCGCCGCTGCAGAGTGAGCGTTTATGACGCGGAGTGAGAAGGCTTAATTGCGTGCCTGTGAGAACGTAGCGCGCTTCCTTGATCGTCATCGAAGGTCTTACTCATACTGGTCACCCCGCGCCTTGGGAGGCTTGATCGAATGCAAGAGAGAACTTGGACATCCTTGCAAGAACGCCCTCCAAAACTTGCCTACACATCGTCAAACGAGGAGCTGAGCGGGATCGTCGGAATCACTTTGAGCAGATGCCCAGGGCAAAGCGCTGTACGCTGAAGAGTATGAAGGTAACTAGCTGATTAACTTGTGATTTTTAGTTCCTGACCTGCAGTAAAAACAAGTTGCTGCTCAAAGCCGATTTGGCCATTGCTCCCTCGCATGCCGTCTTCATATCCAGCTTAATACCGCTGTTTTTTCCTTGAAGTCACTCCCGCAAGTCAAAATAGATCTTGTAGAATCCGACGAGTCTAAAGTCCCTCGCCTTGTCAAGCTCGGAATCAACGAAGCGCCCACCTTGCAGCGCCTTCATTTCCTGCAGCGCCGCCGCTCGCGCCTCGCGCAGCCGCTCCGTGTCCTCGACCACCTGGATCTTTTGCGCCTCCTGGTCCGCACGCCGCTTCTCTAGTTGGCCTTCCAGCTCCTCCCGCTTTTTCCTGGCAGACTTAGAGCGGAGTGTCAGAACCCCTTAGAGTTCCGGACTTTCAGCATCTTCGTCTCTGCTTATCCGGACGAAACTCTAGCTCGAATTGTGTTTCCACCCGCTTCTCTAGTTGGCCCTCCAGCTCCTTCCTCATCGTCCTGGAAACTAAACGAGCAGAGTGGTCAAATTCGGAGCGGTTCTGACCTTCTTAAAAATTCGGCTAGGAATGGAAGAAAGTCTTACTGCGCCTCCTGATCTGCGCGCACTTCTCTGGTTGGCCCTGCGGTTCATTCCGTTTTTGGCCTGACAAGCACACAGTGAAATTTTCGAGCAAGTCTTCGACGCTCAAACGTCTAAAGAAATTTGTGTCTGCAATTCTGGTTTATCTCACAGAAGGTTCAGCTCGAAACCCGTTTCCATTTCGTCATCTCATCCGTCTCCGCTTCTCAGTCGGCCCCACCCGCTCCTCCTGCTTTCCCCTGGCAGGTGACTGCGCAGTGTTCAGATTCAGGATGCACTCTTCTAGCGCCTTGAAAGTCGGGGTTTCTGTCTCTTCAAGTCTGCTTCGCCTATGTAAACGTTGACCTCCGGACGCCTTGCCTCCTGATTCTCGTGCCGGCTTCTGACTCTCCAGTTCCTCCTTGTCTAGAACAGACAAAGTCAGGCGTTCGACTTTCGAGCACGACCGACCCCCTCGGAATTGAACCTTCAGTATTTTTGGGTCTGGCTTGTCTGGCTTATTGCGACCTGATTAAAAGCGCCCCGTCTTCTTAACCGCACCAATGAATGCGCTGAAAACGGAAAACGGGCAAGTGGACAACAGCTTTGCGGTCTCCGCGTGCCCACTTATAAGGTGTGCAGTGAGACCTTATAAGCGGACGCTGTGCATCTGAGGAGAGGAAAGAGAACAAAGACAACGATTGTGGAAAGGAAGAAACACTGGCCAAATCAGAACAAGTGTGCAGTTTCCGTGCGCCCACCTGTACGTCGCCAGCTTCTGCTCAAACGCCTGCGCCCATCCCCTCCGTTTCCGCTCCAGCTTGACTAGCTTCTTCCGGTATATGATGATCTCGAGCTGCTCCACAGTCATTGGCGCGGACTTGACCGGGGGCGGAGCGGGCGCCGCAGGAGGGGGCTCGTGGGAAACCTGTAAAGGACAAAGTGACAGTGAGTCAATCACGTTGTAAAAGGAAATCTATTTCTATTTCTTTTATCGGTGTTCAAGCCAAGCCAACGGGGGAATGAAAGTGGGTGAAGTGTTGTCCTGAATTTTCCGTTGCACAAGCAGTTGGAAAGTAAGCAAAGCTGGACAGGGATTCCTGTTGGACGAGTTCCGCTAGAGTTGGGCGGAAGAGCGAAAGTTGTGAGGGTCAGACGAATGGGAAGGGAAAAAGCCTGTACAGGCGTTGAGACTCGATGAAGCGGTATATGAGTAGACTCAAAGACTATGATTGGTCGACCTTTGGGGATTGGAGAACTTTATCCCAGGTTTCTGTGGTCGTTCTAATTGATTTGGAGACTCTCAGTTGAGCAGATCATAACGTGGAGTTACGTGTGACCCGGGTTGCGGAGATTCACAACCCTGCACTCATTTGACAACTTTAAATGGCCAGAAGAGGATCTTGCCCGATCAGGAGCTCTAGAGCCCAATATTTTGAAGCCCGAGCCAAAGCATACTGGTTATTTTCACGAAAAGGACTGATTCTCAGATCAAAATGCATCCTGAGAAGAGGGCTTAATTCCAGCCAATCACAAGCGAGTGCTTCGCTCACCAGCACGTCCATTGGCGCTGCGGCCTCTTGTTGCGATTGTTGCGCAGTCCCTTCGGCTTGGCACGCCTCCTCGCCCAAGCTCTGGTCGGCGAAGAAGAGTGGCGAGCCAAAGGCGGGCCCGGCTTGCTCCGCAAAAGGTTCTGGCTGGGCTCCTGTAAGAAAGCAGCACGAAATGATAAGCTTCTTTCAGTAGATTCGCACTTCCAATCCAGCAGCCACTTGTTGTCATCCACACTTGTGCTAGCTGGGCTCCTGTAAGTAAGCAACATGAAATAGTAAGCTCCTTTGAGTAGATCCGCACTTGCAAAGCAGCAGCCTTGTGTGATGTGGACTCGTTTTCAGAAGCTTTTTGATGCAGACGCCGAGCAGCAGAGAGTCGGATCGGCAAGTCACGTTGTGCTGCGGGTCAACAGAGACTTTCGTGGCTGCATGATTCGCAAAGATGGTCGAACCGTACGTGTTATAGCATAAGGGAGTTGCTCATCAATTGTTGACAGTACAGTTGCGGGAAAAAGAACGAGCTGATCGAAGAGAGCACTGTGCCTTCAGCAGACACTTCGGCTACAGGGGATCAAAGATAGACGCAAAGTACGCTAGTTGCAAATGACAACACCTGGACAACTCAGCTGCAAATTCCAGTCAAGTTAGGAGTTGGCGCTAAACCCGCGTACCTGTCGGAGTTTCTGCCGCGGCTTCAAGAGCGGCATTCAGAGCGTCCGTCGTGGCTTCTGGGGTCAGCAGGCGCGGCATCTGCAGTGAACAAAACATGAAATAATGATCGCTGCAGAGATAGTCATCGGTTGCCTGTCCCCAAGCTAACGTCCGTAAGGTCTGTTGCCGTTTTGCAGGGCAAGTAATCCAGGTACCACTTAGTAAAGCCGAGAGAAAAGCCTCGTAGTGTTCACGTGTCAAACGAATATGGTGACACGTAAGGAATGGAGCTCCAATCTTGCAGACGCGATTGCGAAGATCAAAGACAAGGAGTGGACTCCGTCTGAAAGCGCGCATGGATGGAGACCGACGCCAGCCCTGTTCCGACACCACCAATTTAGTGTGGGTTAGTGTGATTTATTGTGACTTACCCCAAGGAACAATTTGAGAACTAGTTGTATCTTGACTAGCCAATGAATTAGAATATGCTATGTTACCAAGCTTTTACGAATTGTGCCACCACAAAACGCAAACTTGGAACCACGGCCTTACCGGTTGCTCCACTGTCTCTTCTTCCGGATCTTCGCCGTCAACTTCCACCGAGAGTCCCGAGAGGCTCGGCTTGAGCTGGATCACCCGGTTGACCAAATGGGGCTCCCCCTTTGCGGGCTTCTCGGGTAGGTCGTTCAGGCTCTTGCGCTTGCGCTTGGAGTCCGGTTCTGAAGACGAGATACAGAGGCGATTTGGGAGTGCCAAAACAGGCAAATCGGTCGAGCTCTTGGTAGTAGAGAAACGAAGGCTTTGCGCATGTGAATTACCAGACGAAAGAGCGAGACACGAGGCATAAGAAGGAAGAGAAAGCTTTCAATAGAGGTGGGAAGAGACGATCAACCAGGAAGGAAATAGGGACCATGCCAGGCAGGGAAATGAACAGATGAATAGCAATCGTCTTCAAAGCTGCGGAGTTCTTGAAGGGTGGCAATACAATTGCATGGTGATACACCCACGTCCAGAATTGGAACACGGGTAGACGTGCAAAGTACGTGACATCAAGATAGAGCAAGTTGAAGGCGAGGTCTTCATGAGCTGTGCACATGTCAGCAGATTAAGAGCAAGATCTTCGTGATCGTAAACGTACTCGCAGGACGAAGCAACGTAGAAAGATGTTGTCGCGTCGAGAGTAACATCTGGGCTAAAAACCGGAATGACCAATGTTAGGAGCAGACGTGATTGCTTGGTGGACGATTGCCTACCTTCTTCCCCAGACGGCCGGTGTTTTCTTTTCTTGATGGCCACGACGTCGTCTGTCTGAACCTGTAGCAACAACGGAGAACGGTGAGACGCCTTTTGGCTTTTCGATTCAAGGTGGGAAACTCTTCTCTTCTGGGCAGTCAAGTCTTCTCCTGCTTTTATCATGATCGAAGTGAGAAAGAGCGACTTGCAACGGGCTCGAATGAGAGGTCGCGAGATAGGTGCAGTCATTACTCTTTCAACGGAGGTGTGCTTTTGTTCTAAATCAATGTGGTTGCACATGAATGTTGGACAGAGTCCGAAGAGAAGAGCCGAGTGATCAAGCACAACCCCATAAGCGAATTGAATTAGGATCTAAGTGGCTTCTTGTATTTGACTGACAGACAATCCATCGGTAGTGTTGCCATGAAACAGGATTGTCTGCAAGTTTTTGATTCGGACCAGGCCATCTGCCTTCCCGAATTCCATTGAACACAGTTCCGCTCACCTGGCGGTTCTCCTTTTTAACTTTCTTTTCCCGAGGCCTGATTGGCACTCCCAGTTCGTCTGCAAGAAATTGTCACTGAACAGTCAGCTATGCGCAAGACCCGAGCATCTGCGAACGACGAGCAGATCCTACAATGCAACGCAAAAATACTAAAACCGTTTGTCTGGAACAAGGCAAGGCCTTGTCTTGGAGTACTGCCAGCGGGAAAATAATTGCGGAACGTCCAGCTAAACAATCCGCTCCTGATCCATTCAGTCCGCTCGTCCAATATCACAGACTCCTGCTGATTCGCAACAAGATTCCATTTGCCGGGCCGATTGCCGAAGCACCAATTGTACGCAAGAGAAGCTGGAATGATCAGAAGCCTCACCCAAGCCCGCAGCTTTTTGGTGCTTCGTCAGCTGTTCCCGTACGATCAGCACCAGTTCACCATTCAGCATCTGCATGCAAAGGGGCGAGGCGTCGTGAGTTGCAATCTGGCGGTCCTTGGAACTCAGATTCGATGATCCTCAACCTCTTTTTCGGGGCTATGCAAGCCAGGAACAAAGGGAACTCGGAAACATTAAGAGCGTGCGAGTATTTTTCGGAAAACTAGCATCCGAGCAAGTGTGGTGCGCATAAGGAGGGCCTAATCGTGCACTGGCGGCAATGCCCTGTTCTGGGGCGAACTGACACGGCTCTCTGAAGACCTCTTCACCTTCCAACGTTCTGAAACCTGAAAGCTTGAGTTACAAGTACGTTCTTTCATCCCAAAACTCAGAAGTTCAAGCTCATCACCGTCGCCCCCTCACCCGCCGGCTCTTCGCCTCGTAGACCACCCCTTCCGTCATCACGAGCGTCACCAATGTCAGCAGCGAGTGCGGGAGCGCCTCCAGCTCCTCGGACCGCAGAAACGCGGGGAACTTGAGCACCCGCAGTTTCAGGCGCTTCAGCGACTTTTCGGGGGACTCGTCGCGCGCGCGCGCCTCGGCGAGGAGCCGCTTCTGCTGGTTGCGCCCCTCGGGCCCGCGCAGGCGCCACCCGATGGACGCCCAGTTCTCGGGGGACTTGAGGAACTCGTCCAGCATGTACTCCACGCTCTCGTCCTCCGCTTCTGGGTTAAGGAAGCGGGTTTGGGTTAGGTTATCAAAGCGTCACGATGGTCTGGTTGAGCGTTAAGAAACTAGTCCAGCATGTACTCCACGCTCTCGTCCCTCCGTTATTGGGTTAAGGAGCGGGTTCGGGTCAGGTTATCAAAGCGTCACGATGGTCTCGTTGAGCGTTAATGTTGATGAGTTCTCCAGCATGTACTCCACGCTCTCGTCCCTCCGTTTCTGGGTTAAGGAACGGGTTCGGGTCAGGTTACCAAAGCGTTATGACCTGGTTTTTTCACTTCCTGAATTGCTTCAACGTTAGGAACTCGTCCAGCATGTGCCCAACGCTCTGGTCTCCGTTCTGAGTTGATTGTGAGTTTGGGTTGGATTACCAAGAGCGTTGCAATTGTTGGTTGAGTTTCAGGGTTGCGCTAACATGAGAAACTCGTCCAGCATGTACTCTACGCTCTCGTCCGCCGTTTCTGGGTAAAGGCAAGAATTTGACCCACATTATCAAAGCCACCATGAGTTGAGTACCGTTCAAGGTTTGGTTTCAGAAGACGAGTCGCTTGTTTCTGACTTTAAAGACAGGTTTAGGTCTTGATTACGATGCTCTGCACGCCAGGATCGATTATTCCTTTGAAACAAGGATGCGCATGTTGAGCAGTAGTAGGACGCTCGTCTTCCGTTTCTGGATCATGACGAAGGTTGAGGACTGAATTGTGTAGAAGATTGGGGATGTGGGGGGCTGAAACTGGCCTAAACACGGGCTTCAAAACTGACAAGGGCCCTGCAAAAGCGCCTGGCCAAGGATGTCCCAAAAGCAGAGACTAACAGTGACGGCAGGAGTCGCTTTTGAACGTCAAGCCCTTCCGAGCATCCGTTTCAAATCGATCACGCACATCCCCAGCAGACATGGAGAATCAAAACGCATCTCATCCTTACCCTCTTCGTCCTCCTCTTCTTCATATACTACGTTTTGCGGAGTGATGACGGCTCCTGCAGAAACGGAATGGTCATTAGTCTACTCGTGTAACCAATCAGGCGATGCTGATTGCCAAAGTGGAGCTCAACAGCAATCGCCAAGACCCAACAACCACACCCGTACGTGGAGCTTGTCAAGCACAGCTCTATTTTGCCGAGAGCAAAAGTAGAAGCCTGCATACATTCTTGGACTACCGTGCAGGTTATTTGGCTCACACCTGTTACGAAGCTTGGACTTACTATCTGAGCAGGTTGGTTCTTTGAGGATCTTGAACAAAGTGTTGCCTCACTTCGACAAGCTTTGGGTCGTGAAAGCAGTTGTCAGTCAGCGTGATTGAGGGTTTACCTTCGTCCTCTGTCTCTTCATCGGCTTGCTCTTGCTTGGAAAGACTGGCATTGGGGGCAGACTTCGCCTTCTTCCCCGGCGTCTTGGCCCTCTCAGCCTCAATTATGTCTGCATGGGCCAAAGAGAGACGCTTCCGTCAGATGGTTGCATGACCTACAACGACAACTGGATCTCAACAAGGTCTGTGCCATGAATTAAGCGGCAACACAGAGGAAAGAAGGCCCAGGTGACCTGCACTTCGGATCGCAGCAGCAAGTAACAATTGCTTGTAAGGGGACTTGCTATACAAAGCCGTCTGACCATGAGGAACTGTTTGCTTTTGACTGAGGACCCAAGCTTTCGAGCTGGCAGATAGATGGGGGAAACATGGGAGGGGACCATGTCGTTAGAAGAAGGTGCTTAAGAAAACCCACCTCTAGTTGCGGGGATCCGGGCCTCAAAGTCCATGCACTTCTGTACTTCCCCCTCCGACAGGCCCAGCTCTTCTCGCAGATACCGTTCGACTTGCTTCATAGAGTGTAGCTCACGACCATTGGGGGGAGTTCGATGGCTGCAGCATATAAGACGTTTTGAGTTATGGGAAAGATCTGAGTAGATCGGAAAGCTTGCTCAAATCATGTTGGGAAGCAACGGGCCCCTAGAGAGTGGTTGGCTTAGTCATCAAAACATGATCCGACGAGAATCCAGCAGAAGAGGTGCTTAGGCCAGCAGTTGGACTTTGCTCAGAGCACTACCACACGTTTGGCAGAGCGCGGTGCAAAACTTGCAATTGAAAGCTAGTCGATAGCAACCTGCAATACGCGCATTCAGCACCCCAAACATGGTGACTGCAGTGATAGCCGACCAGCAGTCGGGACACTGAATCAGACACGATCTGGTCGCAGTCCATTTGCGCATTCACAGCCAGATCAGAAGGAGAGAGCAATAGGATTGCATTTAAAGCCCACTCACACGTCTGCATAGTGGCCCGATGCAAGGAGTCGCGAACGAGGCGCGACCCTCCACTGCCATCCCGCAGGTGCGAACGGCCACCCTACCCCCATCGTCCCCCTCGCCACTCCTTGCTCAAATTCCGGCACAGCTTCCGCCCCCCCATCGTCAAGCTCCCCTTCGTGTCCCTGCTCAGCCTTCCCGTCTCCAAAATCCCCCATGTGATCAGTATATCCCCCAACCCCAATCCCTTGAGCATCGGTCCCTGGCTGCAAATCGTGGAACGCTACATGGTCCGTGAACGCTGCATTGAACTCCTGTTCAAACTCCTGCTCGTCAAGAGCTGGGTGAAACTCTTCCTGCGGCGAGGCGGCCGGGGTGTGGAGAGACTCGTCCCCAGCAGGAAAGAGGGGGCCTTGGTTGGGTAGGTCTGGGGCCGTAGTGGCGTTTGCGCCGTCGGCTTGCGAAGCTGGTGTGAATTGGCCCTGGACCGCTGTAAGCAAGGCGGTGCAAGATCAGCCTCGGCAAGAGTTTCGATGACCAGCAAGTCCTGATTGCTGAAAAGTTGCAGAGGGCAAAAGATCTTTATTAGGTTTTAGTAGAAGAGTCAATTTGCAGTGAAAGACCATTGGTACGTGGTAAGAGGTAGGGGCATTTGTAAGGAAAATACATTTGTAGGCTCAGGACCGTTTCTGCCCACTGGGTTACATCCCCACTTCAACTGGCATATATGACCAAACATCTGCAAGATTTCATACCTCAAATCTGGACCTTTCTACAATCTCTGCTTCCTCCAAGTGAACCAAAATGGAACGCAGTCATCGTGTGGCTGACATGATCGCATTGCAATGCAAAGCAGAGAGTAACACTGGAGAGCTCCTCACCACCGGCAAAATAGTGCTCCTCCATCACGGCCACATTTACTCCATCCAACCCAGGCTCCAGGTCCGCTGCATTCTCCATGCTGAGGTAAGCAAGTCTGCCACTCGCAGAAAAACAGTCCCAATCAACGGCCTACACGCCAATTGAACGCAATTCTGCCCCTTGACAATCTCGCACAGATGCAGCATTCACGTTTTGAAATGAAAGTAGGGCTCGTCCCGAACGCCGCTTAACTTCAAAAAGAGTGCGCCAATGCAGTGGCGCTCCTTCGCCAATGGTTCTTCCGCTAGGAATCAGGATACAGAGCGCCAGCTTGAGCCTTGAGCTTCTGCAGTTCAGCTCCCGGGGCCGGGGCCGATGCGGATATTAGGGAGGGCTCCCCCTGGCGCAACTAGAGTGCATCTGAAACCGTCGATGATACTTTCAGTAACCATCCACGTGTCATCTGACGGCTATCAGAATACGAGCGCTAACACTAGTGCTACACCTGCCGAGCGTGGGCTAACCCAGGGCTAACCGGGTGACTAATCGACCCGGTTAACTTTAATATTCTGCATCTGGAACCTTCTCCACACAGAGCGTGGTGGCAGCAGCACGTAGGCAGACGCCATGATGATGCAGTCCTGAGTTCTGGAGCAATGCAGACAACCATGTAGAAGCCGGCTGGAAGGAGGGCGCAGGATAGGGTTGTGTAGGGTGTACTGGTAACAGCATTGGTGCTTGGCTTGTCCCTTTTCAATGGAAGGAACACCCTTGAACGACCAACTGGAAAGTAGTTGATGATTTTGTAAGTGACGGTGCACTTAGTGCTCAACGCACTGTGTGAAAGGAGCGGAGGCGATCAGGGGTGGTGCAGCTAGTAGAAGGGCTCGATCTCACCTGTGATGCCCGGGATGTAGTCGCCTGGCGGTTGGAAGTTGGCAACCTTTCTCAAAGTACTGGTCATGCAAACCCGAAAAAGATCCGTACCTTGAGCTTCATGCAGAGCACTTGACCCTCATCCACCTTTTATTGTTCCTTATGCTCTGGTTTGCTGAAACAGGACCTCGTTAGCAGCTTAAGCATCAAACGTAACTGCGAGAGACAAGGTGCTATGGCGGAGGCCTTACACATCCTGAAGGCCTCAGCGCTGTTTGGAAGCTTTACAGGCAGCCAAAGGGAAGGGCCACGGAGAGGTCATCATTCATCATTTCCAGCGGCCGGTTTGCTTCGTCCACAAATGCTGAAGACTTTACTGATGCTCAGCAGTGCAGAAAGCATTGCTTCGAAACCCGTATGCCAGGATGGGGTGATAAGCAAGGCAAAGCTTGGGCGGACAGTCCCGCTATCTGTCGTTGCACAAGCTCTTGATGGATCCGGGGCCAGTGGTGGGGGCGGAGGCGCGAGAGAAGCGGCCAATGGTAAAGCCAGCGACTCTGCGGGTAAGTCATGAGTCTTCACATGCTGGGGAATATGACTTTGCATCTGCCTGATTGAATTTAGTAGCAAGCTCAGGACGTTCTTTTAAAGCGAGTCGGCAGCAGGCTTCGAAATTGAGCGGAGTCGATGTAGACAGGGAGAAACACTCATTACACATCAAAATCTCTCCGAGTATAGACCAGAGGCGAACCTGGAAGTGTGCCATTTGTGGGAAAGTGATTGTTCTGCGTGTTCTGCACCCCTGTCAAGCTTCCACCTCTCCCTGCATTCATCAATGTGTTTTCACCTATTTCCGGTATATCTTTGTTGAATCTGATTCAAAATGCTGGACGTCGTGATATTTCATAGTGGCAGCTGACCTGGTGTACCAAGAGGCTACAAGCTAGTGATGGCTGAGTCCTCAACGTCTGAAGTGCTCTCCTGCCTCTCATTTGCTGCAGCAGATTCCGTTCATATAGCACGGGCCATCGAGCTCTCCAAAAGCTCAGAAGGCCTAACGGCGCCCCACCCGAACGCTGGCTGTGTGTTAGCGCACGGCTCTGAGGTTGTTGGTGAAGGCTTTCTGTATGCTCAAGGGACCGAGAGTGCCGAAGCACAGGCGGTGCGGGCCGCTGGGCCTAGAGCAGCGGGAGCCACAGCTTACATGAATCTAGAACCAGGGGACTGTCATGGGGACCGGAGAGCAGTCAAGGTGCTCATTGATGTGAGGGGCAGGGCGTCTCTTTCCATTCCGTTGGTTTGTTCTTTCAGCGTTCTATATGAAAGGTTGTCCTTGATTTGGAGGGATTCTCGTCACAAAGAAGATGATGTTTCCACTAGCAAGGTCTTTCCATTAAATCTATCTGGGAGGTTCCAAGACACATTTGTACTGCTCTTGCTTTTGAGTGCTGCTATGTCATCTCCAAGTCATCTTGTAACATTCCAACGTCTCGACAGGCGGGTGTCAAGCGAGCCGTGATTGGGATGCGGCATCCGCTTTCACACCACAGGGGCAAGGCCATCGATGCTCTTCGGGCCGCCGGAATCGTCGTCGAAGTTGGAGGAGAGGAATACAGGCATCCACCAACTGAGGTTAGTCTAACGCACACCAAAGCACTTGCAGCACACAAATGCGCAGCAGGATCCTGTTTGGAGCAGGTGTTTCTGGGTGGATGCGATTTCGAACTCGTTCGGCTTCTGGACATATTGTGGAAGCAGACGTATGGAAACAGACAAAGACTGCGAACTCTGAAGTACGTTGAGAAGGAATTCTGTTCTGGAAACCACTTTCCATTAGGCGTAGTCAACAAAGTTACTTTGCATCGCTGTCTTGATTCTGTTGCAACGAGTCAAAAGGTCTCCTGGCGGTCATGCATCGTGTCTTACGATGAAGGCCGCACACTTTGCCTTGTCTGAGGAATTTGGATGAGAATCGCATTGGCACTTCACCCTACGCAATCGCCCCTTTTTTGTGGTGTCAAACACGTCACTCCCACAGTCGTGGGGGTTCACATATTGCATTTCAATCCATTGCCGTCTGGATCTCAAATCCAATGATGTCTCTATCTGAAGTTCCCGTTCGCCTGTTTCGCATTCTAGGAAGCATGTCAAAAAGCGAACGAGGCGCTCGTATACCGCATGGAGTTCAAGCGCCCGTTCTCGGTGCTGAAATACGCAATGACGCTCGACGGGAAGATTGCGGCCAGCACGGGGCATGCGGCCTGGGTGTCTGGCAAGGAGTCCCGCCAGAAAGTCTTTGCGATGCGAGGCCGCTCCGATGCGATCATCGTGGGGGGCAACACCGTGCGGCGAGACAGTGAGGCTGCTTACCCTCTCTTTATGGTAGTAATCCAGGCCGGAAAGGGGTCATATTTGCTTCGGATGCATGGCACTCGTTTTATGATTGAAACCGCTACAAATCGTAGATGTATCGAATCATGCTCGCTGAGAATGTCGAAGCGTCAGGTGACAGGCAGCTGCCACGGTTCGCGATTCGTTTCTCCGAGCATGGACAGTCGCGCCTCTGTTTCTCTGAACAGCTCAGCCTAGCTGGTCAAGACCGGAGGGACACCCTGGAGTCTACAGAAGTTGCCATCTGATTTCCACAGCTTCGTTAGTTCGAAAAACAGCTCTTCCAACCAATAGTATGCGACTGGAGTTTCGAACGCTCAATAACTAATGGTTGGTTCTTCGTTGGTTTACTGCATTTAGAAGACTTCGGAAAATCAATGAACCGCCAAACAAGCTCAAACTCTTTCGAAAACCGTTCCCGGTCCTGAAAGAGGACACCGTTCTGGCGACTTGCTGCACTTCGTCAGTCGGGGGTCTGCAGCCGAGCGACTTGAGGGCGGTGATTATGTCAACTGAACTTGTTTGTCCTTTCTACGGACTATTTGAAGCCTGTTCTCTTTTTAAGAAACTTCGAAAAGAAACTTCGAAGTATTGATCCAGGAATCAATGAATCCTGCTGCCAAAAGCGTCATCGTTATGTCTTGGACTGCGACTACGACGTTCAAGTATTTGTGATATGGATACAGGCTTCTGAAATAGGAAAAGAACACGAATCAGCTGACGTCATCACTGGTCCTATCCGCTTGATTGCAGACCCCCGACCTGCGACGTGCCGCAAAGGCAGTCTCCTGCTTGTTCGGATTGTTGTGTCCAAACGTTTCGGGAACAGGAGCTCGGCTGACAACGTTTTCGTTTCTCTGCTTGGTCGGAGACCCCGACTGATGACGCACTGCGAGGGCGATCTCTGCCCGTCTGGATTGCCATGTTCCGGATTGCGACTACGACTTCATGCATCCTAGATACTCAAAAGGTTTTGGCCGTGAGAAGCTTGGCTAACGTCAACACCCCTTTGGTTGCAGACCCCCGGCTGACGACGCGCCGTGAGGGTGGCCACCTGCCCGTCCGGATCGTCATGTCCCGGACGCTTCGGCTCCCCGAGGACGCCAACTTGTGGGACGTGTCCGCAGCCCCGACCATCGTCATGACGCAAAAGGGGGCACGGGAAGACTTTCAGGTGCGCCAGAAGGGTATGCCCTTGTGTTTGTTGAGGCGCCTTCGTTTTGTCTGATCGGACTTTCGGCGTGGTCAGCTTGAGCCACACATGCTCGATACTGGTGGAATGTTGGTTAGAATGTCAAGAATCAGACTGACATGAGGGACTGGCTGCAAATCCCGCGAAATGTCATGAGATTGCTGTCCGTTAGAGAATTGGCTGCGAGAGCGGGCTGTGGAGGAGACTTTGAGACTTCTCACCGTTCGACCTCCGCAAGCAATGCCAGGAAGCAGTATTAGCATACAGACAGTCACAGAGTCTGGACCGCCCTTTACGATGACTAAGTGAATTTTGTTTGCGTGTCACCTACAGGATTGGCTGAGGCCAAGGGGCCTGTACATTGTGCTTTCGGATCTTACCCTGCGTCATCAACTTCATTGCCGGTTTCCAGATTGCTGCGTAGTTTTTGACCATGATTTGACTGGAATCATCTGACATAACCTCTCTGCTTGTCGCGCACAGGATCGGTTGCGGCGGCGGGGCGTCGAGATCGTGGAGTTTGACTTCCTGACCCCCGCCGGCGTCATGGATTACTGCTACCAGCGCGGATTCCTCCAGGTGCTCTGGGAATGCGGGGGCACGCTGTCCGCGCCCGCCATTCAAGCTGGCGTCATTCACCGGGTGAGGATGACGTTTTCCCTTGACCGGGCTGGTTGGGGGTTTCATAACTCAGCGTTTCGAGACTTTTAATCATGGGTCCAAGCAGACAGCGTGCTCTTAATGCTCTGCATTTGTCATTTGAAGCGTGCAGTCGTGGTCTGGACTTAAAGGATTCTTGCAAGGAAAGTCGACTTTTGGGACTCTTTTCACCGACGATGTCTGTTGGTCCTCAAACCCCGCATTTGCGCCAGGGGAAGTACCGATGTCTGCATTTGACTGGCTTACGTAGTTCCATTGCACGGGCCTCACTTACATCGTCTCAGATTTCCTCCCCTTATGCGGCGCAGAATCTACGTCACAGTCTTGTCGATTCCGGAGAAAGCGACGTGTTCCGGAGAAACCGTTTTGTTTTTCGCTGACCAAGAGGAGTTTCTTCTGGAACAGGTGATGGCGTTTGTGGCTCCGAAGCTCATTGGCGGTATCACCGCCCCAACTCCCGTGGGCGAGCTCGGGTTCGTCGAGATGACGCAAGCAATGAACCTGTCAGACGTCAGCTACGACGTGGTAGGTTATCTGAGCTCTCAATACGCTTGCCGTCTTTCTAGTCGCATTTGAACACGCTGGCGAGCGAGGTCGTTTTTACTTGAGCTCCTTTGGGAGTGTAATAGTTGACCGGTATGCGACTGGGTTCCCGTGGCCATTTTTAAGTGTGCTAGTCAGACGTACGAGAACGGGTTTTTCGTTTGCACGTTGATGATCAGAGCATCGTTCAGGGTTGCCACGATTGAGGGGCCACTCAGTGCGCGTCAATCCTACAAGGCAGTTTGGTTACTTTTGCTCATCTTCGAATGACCAATTTACCCTCATTCGCAATTTACACCTGATGAGTTTCTAAGCAAATTTGCTTTTTGCCCGATGCAGGTTGGCCCCGACCTCATGGTCTCCGGTTACCTCCAAACCCCGCACACCAACCCCATTCGTCCCTTCTCCTGGCCTGCGCCCAATCAGGAAACCGCCCCCAGCTCCGTCGCGGCCCCTCCCCCACCGCGACCTCGGATCGCATTCTACAAAGCCTGGGACCTCTACGGCGCCTTCTCGAACTTCTCCCCCCATCCAATCACGATGCCGGATCTAGAGGGGCGGGAAGAGGAGTGGCGCTCTGTGGAACACTTTTACCAGGCGCAAAAGTTTGCGGGCGTCAATGACGCAAATGCGGAGAGCGCCGTGCGGGGGATTCGGGAGGCGCGGAGCTCGGAGGAGGCGGCGCGCATCGGGCGCGCGCTCGAGCGGCTGCGGCCGGAGCTGGTAAGGCGGGCGGAAAACGTATGCCACGTGGCTTCGTGAGTCGCCACGAAGATGGTTACTGATGTTCATGCGGGCGACAGAAATACTGCTACACGGGACAGACGATTGCGAGGATAATGTAGTCTCCAGAGAGTCGATCAAGAAGACAGATTTTAATGCGGCGGGAAGATCTGCGGGATGCTGATAGTATCGGACCGTTTGAACGAACGTGCGCCACTTCGAGCGATATGGGAGTCCCAGAAGACTATTGGTCTGCGTCTTACCTATGTCTCTTCTGCCTGTGAATGGAAGATGCTCTGGTTTTTGAAGGGAAAACTCAATTTAGCAAAGATGCTGCGGACAGATATCCAAGCTAATGTTTGACAAGACGTGGGATGCGTTCTTTTGAAGCAGGATTCTCCAAAGGTACGTCCAGGTTCTGACATGGGGCTTGGGGCAACATTCTTTTTACATTCCTGACATCCTTCCGACTGCAGGTACGGCAGGACTGGGATACCGCAAAGGTTGAGGTGATGTATGGTGCATTATGTCGGAAGTTCCAGATGCATTCCGAGTTGTCAAATCTACTAGTCTCGACGGGGGATCTCGAGATTGTGGAGAACGCGCCGCATGATTTCTTTTGGGGCATAGGGCGGACAGGTCAAGGCCAGAATCACCTCGGAAAGTTGCTGATGCGGGTTAGACGAGAATTGCAGGAGGTATCGGAAAAGAGCCCGGCAGTAGAAGTTTTGCAAGATGTAAGGTGATGTCAAGTAGGTTATCAAGAACGTTCAAGCTAATCAGCAAGCCGAGTGGTCGATATTTTCTATTGATTGCGAAATCTCTTCTTAACTGCGAGAGCTTCTTAGAGGACTGTGGGTCCCTCTTCCAAAAGAAAGTGAACACGTTTGAGCAGGTCAGCCCAAGGATATGTTGAGGCCTCGATCGACTCTTCTGCCAAACCATATTTGTAGAGATGAGGTGCTGGAGCGCTTGAGTATTGTCGGCTTTAGTCGGCTTGCTTCAGATGTGCATGATACACAGGCTTTATTGGCATGCGCCGTTGAATCATGTAGTGCAAACGGGGCGATCCAAAACTGTGAAGGCCATCCACGTACAGCTATATATTCAAAGCAGGATATGGCCGGATGTGCATATATACATAAAGGCCTAGCAAAGGTGTACAAAATTATTCCATACGATTGGACAACCACGCGCTAAGTTATGCGCGCGGGCCCGCCCTTCTTTGCTCAGAGTGCATGCAAAAATTTGTGCAGCGAAGCATGACTTGACGGGCCATATAAATGATCGTCACAGCATGTGCACCTAGATATCAATCAGACACCTCGATCAACAAGTGTATGCCATGAGAAATAGCATACTAATGGCCGCACTGAGTGACTAGACCGTCTGCATTTAACGACAAGAGACAACCATTATATGCACTGTTATGCCTGATTGGTAAGCTCTGAAGTTGGTAAGACTCAAGACTCGTATGCAGCTAGAGGACAATAAAACCCCCAGCCACCGACCTCGGATGCAATGTGGTTTGTTTTGATCAGAGCAGGCCCTCAAACATACGTGCTTTATGGTGTCGATGCTTACTCGTCAAGTGCGTGGTATTGCACCGATGATGCACACGAATAAATGAAGAGGCCTCAAGAGTAGTCTTGTTTATATCTGGGCAACAAATCACCCCTGGACATCAGCAATCGTCTTCGCTTTCTCAGAACTGCCAGTGTCATACAAGGCGTGCATCACAAATCTGGAGCAGCTTACCACCTACTAACATGGCAAGACCCACAATCATACCTGCAGCAGTCTGCTCACAATTGCCAATTTGCCTCATGTCCCCCGTACCAAGTGCATGACTGGGCTGATTCAAGACTCGGAGGGACATTCACGGATTTCTTTCAATCATAGCTAGCCTGTATGGCTGCTTAGCTAAATCAGTGAACTGCCCAATCAATTCCCTCCTAAAAGCTGGCCGGTATGTGTCCAACTTGATGGACTGGCGACAAGTGTCATCAATAACGTTGCGACCAAAGCAAGCCCCTGGACAAAGTCTGATCAAGTTACCTTCTTGTATATTGTTTCCTGGCGGCCAGCCTTAAGGGCTGCATACCTGGCCGCAGTGAAGAGGTAGTCACTTAATCGGTTCATGTATCGGCTGACCTCCTCCTCCACCTGATAAAAACATCGCCAATGTATCATTGATGATACCCCAAAAAGTCCAGTCCTCCAAGTCCCCACACTTGAAGAGTAGAGGAGACGTGCCCAGAGCAGGGGCTCCGACATTTCCTGAAACTTTCTTTGTAAGGCACCCCTAAGGGGGTCGGATGCCGGAATGATCGGCAGTCCGATCGGGGTGGCACGAAAAGGACAGTCAAGTGAATCAGAAATGCTTACAACTAAAGAACCTGCTACACCATGTTCTTTGTCGCGCAGGGTCACAGAAATACGTCAGCCAGAAGAATGCTCTACCTGGTTCTGCCCCACTAAGTAGACCACCTTCCGCTCAGCCCTCCGGCAGACTCCGCGGGCGACATGGAGGAACGACGCTCCAGGGCCCCCCGAAGGCAGGATGAAGTTTCTCAGGGGTGGCAGCTCCTCATCCATGGCATCTATCTGCTCCTCTAAAAGCTGCACCTTACCCTCTGGGAACTTTGCCCTTTCTAGTTTCCCTTTGGACGAAGTTGACAGAGGGGTAGCTATGGATGTTCCGACGTCTATAAGACGAGACTGGATCTCCTCCAATTGCTGCAGAAGCGAAGTCAGTGTGGGATCTAGGAACTCCCTCGCCACCCCGATTGCGCTGTTCAGCTCGTCAACATCTCCGAGCGCCTCAAACTCTACCTCTGTCTTTGACTTTCTGCTCCCGTTGTACAATGATGTCTGCCCCGCGTCGCCTGTCCGGGTGTAGATCTTAAACTTTGACCCGCCAGCTTTCTTGCTAGATTCAAGGGTCGGTGCGCCCCCATCCTCCGCGCGCTCCTCAACCAAGTGCGTCTCTCCCAAAGATTCTCCCAGAGTGCCAACCTCTGACGTCATGCGGTAAGATGGCATGGAGAGGGGCAGAAGACGGCGTGTTTTTAAAATGCTGCGGTCGATGGCTGCCTCAGTTCCAATGTGGCGCCACAAGATCTTGACCAAGGACATTAGCTTGGCGCACGAGAGCCTGCCCCGAGAGACTGCCACGCAAAAATATTTTCACAACACCTTTAACGAGCTCAAAGGTGAGGGGAGAAGAACGGGGATGAAGGCACACCGCTCTGCAGCCCTTTTTGGCAGCCTTTCTCACGTGGGTGCCTTCGCCAGCTACATGTGACAATATTGTGAGCTCATCTGCAGCTAGGGCATCAAAAGGAGAGGGTTCGGTTACCTGCAAAACGGGTTCCGTCTTCTGCGCGTTTCTTCGGGGGTTTGTTCAACGACAGTCATTCGAAGTCGTTTATATTAGATGAACACATGCAGCCACAGAAAAGTCCAGTCATTCTGCGATGTACGAAAGTCTGCTTACATTGCTGCTTGGTTATTATTAACCTCCTTGCTAACCTTCCAGATACAAGGGCCAATTTCGGACAGTCAGTACGCACACTCTTGGACCCGCCAGAAAAAGTTCGGCACCGTCGATCGATGGGGGCAGCCCCCAACTTTGACCCTTTGGATCGTCCGATGGGGTTAGCATTAAATGCTCTCTGGCAACGCAAATGCGGACCCTAAAGTTTGCTGGCGACGCCCTCAGGTAAGTAAAGTGAGGGCGTCGCCGCGTTCCCCAACTTAAAACTTGACACAGCCTGCCAATTGGGCACAGCAAAGGACGGTGGTGTCAAAGCCCCAGAAGCGTGCGTACTGACTGCGGAAGGAGGAAGAATTTTAGAAAAGGAACACTGAAAGAAAGGAAGAAATTTGGAAAAGCCACAAAACAACCACCACCTCAGCCAGGACCAGCGCTGTGGTGGCGGCTCTTTTCCTGCTAGCAGCACATCTCGGAGTTTTGCAGCTGTGTCCGTTCCAGTCAGCTACGTTGCATGCGCTGACCGAAACTTTTTAGCGACGAAGAAGGCACGGCGGTTACGAAGTCCTTGTTTCTCTTGGCCACAATATCATTGGCGTACTCTATCTGGGCTGGTGGAGAGCAGGAGGCTTGCGAGTCTCAATAGAGTCGTTCGAAAGACAATCTCTTCCGGCTTGAGTTGTTAGAAGCCGTCCATGCGGAGGTAAAAGAAGGCTTCTTGCCGCCTTACAGCATTGTAAGAAGGAAAGAAAAGCTGGCTCAGCTTGCAGCATTTGAGCCCTGAAAACACTGAGCGTCATCTGTCAAGGCTCGTAGCTTTTGCGCAGATATATATTGCAGAGGCCAGCACTGGTAAAGTCCAGGGGAACATAGTTGCCCCCCTCAGACATGATAGACCTAGCGATGTCAGTGATGGAACTAAACACATCTTGAGCCATGCAGAGTGCAAACGGGACTGAGGTTTCAGTCCCAGCGGGGGCGCCCAACGGCCTCAGAAAAACGGGGAAGGTCCCCTCAATGCTAGACCTGACGACAAAGCTCCTCTTTGTGTCGTCGAAGGGCGACGTAGAAGGCGTCACTGAGCTTCTTGATCTAGGGTGCGATGTGAACGGGGCAGATTACGATGGACGCTCGGCGTTGCATCTGGCTGCAAGCGAGGGGAAGACGGACGTCGTGAAGCTGCTGCTTGAGAGGGGAGCCGATGTCAACGCCCTTGATCGATGGGGGAGCACGGTGCGTTGCTGTTGCTCTTCTTCTCGCTCTACTGCTTTGAGAATCGCTGTATGTACATTGGCTTCCTGACGTACAAGGATTTCCAGCCTATCATTCTCGGCCATTTGCATGCAACTGACGAAGTTGACAGCCCAGGGCAATGCCTCCCCACGGCCATCCGATTGTTGCACAGAACCCTAATGTCGACCTGCCGCTGTCTTTGCAGCCCCTCTCCGATGCGACGCACTTTGGCTTTGCGAGCACGAGTAAAGTGTTGGAAGCTGCGGGGGGGACGATCATGGTCAGTACCGCGCGCATCAAAGATACACCGATCCTGATTTCGTTGACGATGTTGAAGTTTGGGGGAAAGAAGGGGCGCTGCGCCTAACGTTGTGTGCGGTCCATGCGTAAAGCATTGATCTGTGCGATTTTGGCAGGCGGGCGTACTAGGTAGCAATGGCGTCAGTATATACCCTTCTGCTCATGTCAGCACTGCAAATGACAGTGATCTTGCTACTTCTTCTCTGCTTTACTGCGTATTACCATGAATTGCTGGTTGGTAAACTTGGCGGTTGGGTTTCTGCTTACAGCACTTCCGGCCTCGATTGACTCTACAAACTTCCTCTTGCTGAGGTCTGACTTTGAGATGCGAGCCCTGAAGCGAAGTCCTCGACCCTCATTCATATTCAGAACGTACAGGCGGGCCTCTCGGTTTAAGAGCGACTTTGGCGAGGGAGTGACACATGTCAATTCTGTGGTGACATCATTTTCCACCATACTGAACGTAGGAACCTGCCTTGCTTCCTCCCTTTCCAACACAGCCAGAGCGCACCCTCAAACCCTTTCTTACCATCGTATATCTTCTTCTCTGCAGGATAGTCGACGAGAGGTGACTGCCCAACCTAGCGTTGTTGCGGACTGGGAGGTGGACCCGACGGAGATCGACATGAAGAAGAGCATTCCGATAGGCAAGGTAAGGCCTTGATCCAGGTCAAAGTGCAAAAGAGTGATGACTGTCAACATTCTTCTTACTGCTCGTTGTGATTAATGAGCCACCTTTTGCACGGTGTTTTCTGACCGCAAACCCCCTTGTCACCTTGTTAGCTTCTGGAACGGAGAGGATTGGGACTGCCCAAAGAACATCGAACTGGTTAAAGACAATGCTGTGATCCGGAACTCTACAGAAGCTCGTTTCTGGCCCCCCGTCACTGTTTTCCATTTTGAGATGCATAAGCTTGTCAGCGCCTGTTTCTTTCCAGGGCGCCTTTGGAGAGATCCGGCTTGCAGCATGGCGGGGAACCAAGGTGGCGGTGAAGACGATCCTCATGTCGCTCTCGGACGATCGACAAGTGGCGTGAGTTGCTCACAATGCGCACATCTTCCTTTGCCCCTTTTTTGTTCATAGCCTTGTTTCCGTCATCAAGCAGGTTCGAATCACTGATGTGGCACAAAGTTTGCATCTTTTATTGGTGAAAGCCAGAGCCATTAGCGACTCCAAAGAAAGAGGTGTTCTCTGAGGCGAGCCGCGGTTGCTTGCGGTTGGTAATGCCATCGTATGAGACTGCAGTTGTTTGACTACTGCCGTAAGCTCGTTTTGTGACCAGGCTTTCGCGTGTTGGTCGCGAGAGAGCCACTGTCGAAAGAGCATCCAGCAGGAGATGCTTTAGCAGAAATGGTACTCTTGAGCGTTTGTTGCAGACTGTTTTGAAATTTTTGAAGGCTTGTATTTGAAACTCGTGGCTATATACACAACCTTCTGAACGCATGAAAACGAGCTGTTACCCGACCGGCAAAGTTGGTCCGCTTTCGTGCTTTCTGAGATCCTGGAAAAGCACAAGCCGCAGTCGGAATTTCAAGGTTCGCGTATCTTCACAACCCCGTCAGATAAAGAAACCAAAAATTGAAGTAGATTGCCAAGCCTATCTCAAACCAATTCTTGCACAGCTTAATTCGACTGTGGTCAAGCTTAACCCGACTCCTATCGGACTTTTGCAGAAAGGAGTTCCTGGACGAAGTGGCGCTTCTTCCTCAGTTGCGGCATCCAAACATCGTCCAATTTCTCGGGGCCGTCACGCAGCAGAAGCCATTCATGCTCATTACGGAGTACCTCCCCCGAGTGAGACTCGCGCCCTCTTCGTTGGAATGACACTTCGTTGGAATGACACTTGCGGAGCGATTTTGTTTACGAGACTCCTCGATAATGTCGAACCCGGCTTTTGGTTCCTACGGACGCTTCGGAAAGGTGGCTGTCATTTCCGATAAAGAAGGGAGACCCGGTCAGCGTCTTGAGTCAAGCAGAACGGTTTTTAGATTCACCGAAGCCCGTCTTTGCCAGCCGGAAGGGTGAGCTATGAAGGGGGATGCGAGAGCACTGACGGACAAACCCGCAGATTGCTGACGTCAGCCTCTTCATTTCTGCAGGGCGATCTCCACTCCATCATCCAGCGACGAGGCGCTTTGGACCCTGCCACCGCCACCCGCTTTGCCCTTGACATAGCCAGGTGAGACGCAACTGTCTGCTTCTTTGCCTTCGCATGTGTCCCGCAGAAAGTGGCCTCCCCTTTTTTCGGTAGAAGCAGCTGCAAGCTGCGTCATTCCGGTGGCGAAAAGGTGGCACCTCGCTAATATGCTCGATGCTGCTTCATTCGTGGCACGAAGAGCCGCTCGGACCTTGGCGTTCGTGCCTTTGCCTGTCGCATTACGGAACTGCTACTTTAAAGGTGACTACGATTGATTGGTATGAAAAAATGGGTCAGCAAAAGAAGAAGAGACCTTGCTTTGTAGCTCTGGGTTTTATTCCCTTTGCACTTGGTCAGGCCTCTGTTCGTCAAACACCTCGTGTATATTTGGCTCTGACGCCCCAACCGGCGTGTTGCAGGGGGATGAATTACCTCCATCAACGAAAACCGGATCCAATAGTACATAGGTAAGGACACGCTTCTCGTTTGCCGTAATGGTCCTTCGAGTTGCCTCATCCCCGGTGTAAGAGCAATGGTCTCGGGCTTGCCGCAGCTGGATTTGACTTCATTTCTTGTCGCTTGAACTGTTCATGGGTCTGGACGAAAGTTGTTACATACTGCCGCAGGCAGCATGGTGATTTGGTCTGGCCTGTTTATTCTACGTATTGATTCTTCCTACGAACGCGCGCATTCACACACACAGATGCTGATTCTATGTGTTGTTGTCTTTGCAGGGACCTGAAGCCTAGGTAAGTGCTGACTCTGCTCTGCCAGAAAACGCTCAATTGTGATGGCTTAGCCGAAGTCAGAAGTGTTGCGCCTCACCGATTGTCAAATTCTGTGACGCTCGGCAGTTGGCTTGATTGTCTGGCAAGCGCCGTCAAGAATGCGCGTTGCAAACAGGTCACCGCCATCCGATTCGATTGAAAAGGTGTTTGCGCAACGGTTGTCATCAGAGTTGGACAGCCCCATCTGGAACAGATGTTGTTGTTGACGTTTCAGCTTGAGCATTAGGCGAGAGGTCGTGGATTTGAGCGTATCCAGTCAACGGGCACTGATTTTTGAAATGGCTGATCCTTTCCCCTCACTACTTGATCACGGAATACATAAGATGCGTCGCCTGCAGTGTTGAACAAATGTGACGCAGGCATATCGTAGCCTCTCTTTCCTTAGCTTTTATTGATCAGGTCCTTTCCCACCGCACAGAGCCCCTCCTGAATTGGGCACATATACCGTATGGCAGAAGAGGACTTCAGTTATTTGGGCGGTCGACAAACGAAGCATCGCACTCACTCAGCCTACTGACGAGACATAGCTTTGTTTCTTTTGGATTAAAAGCTAGCCAGACGCTCGTCATCAGCTTTCGGTCCCATTGTCGAATCGGTTCATTCCTCAGCAACGTGCCTTGTCATTTTTCATCCCGTTTCCGTCCCACAGGAATCTGTTGCGGAACGAGGCGGGCCGCTTGAAGGTGGCGGACTTTGGCCTGAGCAAGCTGCTGAAGGCGCGCCACAACCAGGGCATGCAAGACCCCTACCAGATGACGGGGGAAACCGGCAGCTGTGAGTTTCTTCACTCAAATGGCTCATGCTTCAAGCCAAGAGTCTGCCTATTCTGCTCCTGTGGTCCAGGCTGATCATCCGTGCCTGCTCTTCTTGAAGCCTGTTGGAAAGAGGAAGTTGTGTAGCTAGACAGACGCTCTTTGAAGCATACTTTACTGCCCAGTTAGACAAGCTCAGTCACGAAGATTTTGAGCTTTGCGGTTGCAAGGGCGTTGAGCTGGCTTCCACCGTGTCACACTTCAACCGAACACGCTTCTTGCCATCGAAATGCAGATTGTATTTGAGTTCTGTCACTTCGTTCGCAAGGCAACATTTGGAACCCGTTCTTATCACGTGTCTGCACTGTAGATGTAGTTTGACAAGTCCCTCCTCCTGCCGTGCAGATCGATACATGGCCCCCGAGGTGTTCCGGCACGAGCAATACGACAAAACCGTCGACGTGTTTTCGTTTGCTATGATTGTGCAAGAGGTGAGTACGTGAAACCGGCATGCACTTCTGCAGCCGCAAGCTTTTCGAACATGTCTTGCCATGCTCTCACTGCAAAAAATCAGAGAAACTTGCCAGACTCTGCTATTCGAGGGGCCATCACAGCTGTGGTGCACAAAGAAGTCTCTTTGGTGGGATGCACGAGGCTGATCAGATTGAGTCGGACTCCGACAAAGACATTTAGAAGCCCTTTGCCCACACCTAGCTTTCTCGCGGTTACTCTGTAAGCCTCAACAACTCACAACCCTCTGCCTAGAGCATATCTTTCACTCCATTTCGGGTCCACAACATTCCATTATTGGGAAAACCGGGAAGGCGTCTCTCAATACGGCGGCTCATCACATTCAGGGTAAACATAACCATTGAAAATGTCGGTTGCATCAACCTTTTGCTTAACCTAACCCGGCCGTGGTTTGCAGATGTTCGAGGGGCAGCCCGCGTGGAAGTTCCAATTGGCGGAGGACGTCGCTCAGTATCTGGCAATCGAGGGGGCGCGACCTCCCTTCAAGAGCAGAAACTACCCTGCGGGGATGAAAGAGTGCGTCGCTATTCTTTTCTGCCCTGAGCGCACACAACTCCAAAAGCGCGAAATGTCGGCCGAAGCTCGTCTGGGGGGTTTGTGCCCCGTGTCATGTCGAGGCGAATCGATTTTGGAGCTCGTTGAGATCGAATCTTTTTGGAATCATGAGGTGATGCAGAAAATGGTATGTGAGGAAGTTTTTGACTTCGTTTGCACGTATCAAAGCGGAGGTTTTAGAACAGAAGATACGGAAACAATATCCTGTTACAGGATTTGTTTGATACTGACGAGGACTTCATTTTCTTGCTTGCAGGCTCATAAAAGATTGCTGGGCTGGGGATCCGAAGAACCGGCCAAACTTCTCCAAAGTAATTGAGCGGTTGGAAGTGATTGAGCAACAGTTTCCGCCCGTTGATTATGGTCTCTCCGACATGAGATGCCAATGCAGCATACTCTAATTATGAGGTGGTTTGCTCGGGGCGGGGTTGCGAATCTGGTGCGAACTTGTACACAAATAGTCAAATATGTCGGGCCTAATATTGACAGGAAAATCACGGAATGATTTTGCAAAGTTGCAGCAGAATTTGATCCCTACTTTGGATTCGGCAGCAGTCGTTAGTATCTGCCATACCAATTGGGACGGTCACATTGGAGCGCATGGATTGCCTGTGCTTGTAGAGATAGGTTGCAATAAGTCTGCCATGCGAGGTCAAAGCCGGACCATAGTGCTGTGGTGGATAAGAGAGTCAGAGACATACCCGTATTACGCTTGGAATCGTCTTGCAACTTGTCGAAATACTTTGCTCCCACCATTCCTGTTTCTGAGTTCATCCAAAAGGTGTCAGCAAGATTTGACTTGAGGTTCATAGACATACTATATTTGTGGTCATGGGGGCCGCCTGTCTCAGTGAGGACAAATGTAAGAGTTCATGCATGGCGCCTATGCAAATGATAGCTAGGTATAGAATTATATCATCAGCTAGTGCATGCATATGCACATGTGATTGCCGCGACCGGCGGCCCCATGCAGCACAATGATGGCATATATATAATCAAGCTCTAGTTGTACGACAATTGCCAGCGCACTGACTCATGCAGTGCAGCACGCCGGGAGCCATATGTAGCAGCACATACAAGTTTTGCGTCACATGTGCTGCAGCTGGCCGGGCGCATGCGGCATAACTGTCATGCATGATACAACATGCAACTGAGTAACTGCTTGCACAACGGTGCATGTCCAAAATTTATGCACTGAACCAGCCGCGGCACAGGCTATCATTGCATGAGAACCGTCGATATTTGGGCCTATAACTCAAGTATTATCGTCGGATCGACAGGTTTGTAACACACGTTCAGCTACACTAGTTCGGGCATGTCGTCACATGACCGTCGCAGGAAGTAGTTGGACTCAGTGACTTTCCGACGTTTTGATTGTTGAATCACCTCATCAACGGCCTAAATGGGCTTCCAAACTGGGCCGTTTTGAGCCCTGTCTCGATGGTTCTCAGAGGTCAATACGTAAGGATGTGCATCTAAAGTAGTCGTTAGTCAGCGCACCTCAAGATCCTAATCCAACACTTTTGGAACATGCAGTTTCTTTTTTTGCCAGAACATCAGTCCAGAGAGTTGCGTCGCCATAACCTCACACCTTAGTCATTGACTGTACTGATTGCAGTACCTTCACCTAAACCTCGTACTAAGCTTCCTGAACCACCGTCTTTTTGCTGATTCGTACCGCCTCGAGCTTCCGGAAGAGAGTCAGAAAGTCCGACAGAGAAAGCTGTTCCGGACGAGCCTGTGCAGCGATTTGACAAATCGGACGTCAGTGTCTGGCTGCCTATGATCGGTGGACCAGCAACCGTTGAGTAGCAGCCGAAAGTCTGTGAATCCACGGCCGGATCTCCTCGCCTGTGACACCACTCGTGCGCACGTTCTCGGTTTCTTCGGATGCTTTCAACGACATCCCAAAGACTGAGCCGTTCGAATCTCTTCAACGACATTCTAAAATTTTGAAACCTGGGCCGAAACTCAACGGGGCCGTAAGTCTAGCATATGTGAGCGCTGTTCCAATCAAAATGGTCCCTTTCCATGGTACTTCAACTCCTTTTGATGAGTAATCTCTTCGAATTTTGACGGTCATTTGAGGATTGACGCCCCGTGGGATTGACAGGCTATGTCAACCGCTCAAGCAGCCAAACCACAGGCAAAGCGAAGCGGTTAAGCGGTTGACCCACCTTTACGTCCAAACCCAATTCTTCGAGCGCTTCGCTAATCGCCGCAGGATCGTGCTGTGACGCCTGGAGGCTATTCCGCAGCATCTTTCTCCGGCCGCCGAATGCAACGTTTACCTGCAAACGGAAGGCTCACGTCAGCTCTAAGCAGAAGACTCGAGAGCATTGAAACGTCAGCACGAAAGTGAGGCAAACGCGATCAGATTAGATGCGCGGAGAGCCCCTGCTTCGGAGTGAGTTTCGGCAAAGCCGTTTTCGATTCCTTAGGCCCTCACCAGAGAGAAGAACGCCTTTGCTGACGTCACCTCCGGCCACTCGTCCGGCCGCCGCATCCCCATCACGACCACCGCCGAGTCGCACTTCGGCTGCGGCGTGAACGAGGCTTTGCCTACCCGGAAACTGATCCTCGGCTCCGCGTAAAAGTTCACGAAGAAACTCATCGCCCTATATTCCGAGTCCCCCGGAGAAGCGTTCACTAATCGTTCTGCGGCTTCCTCTTGGAGCATCAGCGTGCAACTAGAGAAGAGAGAGCCTAGCGGGAGGAGTTTCTTGAGCGCGGACGTCGTGATGTTGTACGGGAGGTTAGCAACGCACTTTGCGCGCTGACCGGGAGCGAGGAACGGGCGCAAGCGCTCCTCGAAGGGCCAGCGCAAGACGTCTGCTTCTTCAACGAGGACCTGCGGGAATGACAAAGCTGCTTCTATAGGGGACAGAAAAGGTTTGTAAGACGTATGGAAACAAAGAGCTTTTGCAGGATGTATTGAGTTTGTGCGTTTGCAGGGTCTGGACGTTCGATACTTGAGCTTATGGAGTAGTTGGAGTCTCACGAATCAGAAAACGGGAGTCAAAGGATATTGTAGATAGTGGTGTGAAAGTGAATTGACCGCTTGACAAGGACCCCCGAAGTGTACTTCTCTTATCATCTTCTTTCAATCTCCGTTTAGTGAGTACATAGAAGCTTTTGAACGAGATATTCAGAAACAAATGGTATCCAGTATCTGAAGCCAGGGCGTCACCTGACGCTGGACAAGCACCACCACAGGACTTACAATTTGTGCACAACTTCGTTCCGTCGATCATCGGGCGGCCCACTTTTGTCAAAGTAGTGATCATCTACTTTTACTGGCTATCTGCACCAGCAGATCAATCATACGCAACTTTGTCTGCGTCAACTCCTGACCTTTCATGCCTCGTACTGCATTCTGCTGGCATTAAAATAGATCACCCGTGACGAGCTCTGAAAGCAGTCTTGAGGTTCAGAACTGCTGCAGATCCTTTGCAGCTTGTTCACAGAAAACTTGACGATAATGGGGCATCAGGGCCCAACAAATTATCCGTGCCAGGAAAGCTCCAGGATCCTACTGAGCAGATTCGCCAACCTCATAATGTAATCCTGATCTGACATACTGCTGTAATCACGCTCCCAACTTGCACCACTAACCATCACATGACAGAAAGAAACCAAGAAACAAAGAAACAAAGAAACAAAGAAGTGGTTCTTCAGAAGGGTGTGGACAAGGCGCCAAGCTCCGCTTGATTCACCATTCACATCCACATCTACTGACCCATGTTGCCCCGTTTATGCATTCCATATGACGGTGATTAACGCGATACCATCTGATATAAGCGCACAGCTTACTTGGTCAGACCCCTCCCAGGCCGTTGCTAGCATCGCCGCAAGCTCCCCGTCTTTCTCCACCGATATCACCTTCGCCGCTCCCGCCTCCGCTAAAGCTTTCGTCAGATTCCCCGTCCCTGGACCGATCTCCAACACCACGTCCCCCGGCCCGACCCCAGCGGCCGCAACCACCCGCCGGATGACATCAGCATCAATCACGAAGTTCTGCCCGAGCGACTTCTTGGGCGCCTTGCCACGCCCCTCCAGCATCTCATACACTGCGCTGCGCTCAGCATTAGGGTTCCGGGGGGCGGAGAAGTTTCGGGGGGGTTTCGGGCCGGACGTTTTGAAGGCACCGGTGCCCCGTCCGTTCTTCCCTGGTCGAGCGGATTCAACTGTGTCCCTTCCGCTGGTGCTCGGGCCGTCCTCAGATGAAGTGAACCCTTTCTCGACCCTCAACTTGCGCGGTGGTGGTTCGACCACCGCTGCTTTTTTTGGACGACGTCCTGCACTTTCCCTATGCTCTCGGTTGGAAGATTTTCGGTCACTTAAAGCGGCTTCCCCTCCAGCCTCAGTGTGCATACTCCTGACAGCTGAATATGCACGGCGATCAGTGGTAATGACAACTGGCAATGTGGGCTGTCTTTGGGCTGCAAAGGGGCTTGAACCAAGAAAGTCCCCTCTTTTTGCACGAACCACACTCGCATTCTCCACATTGTTTTTCATATGAAGGTGGCAAGTCCCACCACCCCTGCCATCGACCGCTTTTGCAAATGCCGAAGGCCCCCAGCAGGAAATGCTATCCCCCGCCGCAAGCTTACGCAGCCTTGCAGCTGACCCTAGTGACAATCGGCCCCTGCACAGCCCAAGGGGCCTCATTAGGAGCTTGCCGGTACTCATCACAGCCTTCAGATACCCTGCCCACAAGGGCGCTTTCCTGTGCTGCCACTCTGTGCTCCTTTTCTGCAGGTCAATCGGCGGAAGAAAGGGAAACTTTAAGGCAGGTTCTGAAGTCTGCTCAATCACAAGCCCGCCGCTGGAGTCTTCATCCGACGGTCGACTTTCGACAATGAGCTTCATCGACGGCCATACGGGTGGTTTGCATTTCAGCCCACAAGTTGCCCGAGTTTTGTACGGCAGGTTTATAGCCCCAATTTCCGCAGCTCCGTCGTTCTTCGGAACACTCGATAAAATTGGAAAGATACAGAGAAGATTAGCATGGCCCCTGCGCAAGGATGACACGCACAAATCGAGAAATGGTCCAAATTTTTTGGACGTTTCTCCTGGCTCCTCTGGCAAGGCCCTAGCTCCTGGCTTGATTGTGTGGCACGCTACATGGTGGAACTTTTGTATCATAAGTTATGTTGAATACAGCATGAGCTTCCTTTACCAAAATTCATACCGTGCACGCGTGCTATATGCGCACACACACGTCCATGAGTCCCCCCATGCATGGCCCGCGCCCATGTATCCACAATGCATATTATATACTCGCCCATGTCCACCTAGTGCATATCATTTGTATACTTCGCATTGTGGGCAACTCACCTTTAGTGTGGCAAGCATGCCAACACATGCTCGCGTAATCTGATTGAAACAACCTCACACGCGGAACGCCCGATTGCAAAAACATCCATCTGTATA